CTCTACGTTCATACTCATAGCAAGGTCTACAGACAGGGAAAGCGCATTCGTTGCACGCAACAAAGAGCTCACTGGTAACCGTTAATTCGATTTCATCTCCACAGATTTGACATGTTTGCCCACTCAATTCTTGTACTGATCGTATCTATATAACAAAAGTCACAAGAGCAAATGAAAACAGATGAGTCTTTAGTCAAATCCTAAAGATGATCTAGACTCAAAAAGAACAATAAAGTTGTCATTTTTACATAATTGAGACAGTTATTAGTAATTAGTATCCCATCTGAATCAGGTACAGAGCAATAAAGAGCAGCAGCTCAGATAAATCAAGAACATAATTTAAAAGAACAAAAAAAAAAAGACTTTGTATGAACTTATTGCTACTGCAACGACATTGAAGTCGGTACTCAGGACATCTCTGCCGACACGTATGAATCATGCAACAACACTTGAAGAAAAAAAAAAGAAAAACAGAACATGTGGGTTGCGGCATTACACCCCAGAAACTTTTAATCTCAGTAACCTCAGATCACAAAATTCCATCAAGATTATCATAATCTAGATCCCAAAAGGAAAACACATTTTTTTTATTGGTTAAAAATTCAGAGAAAAAGGAATGTGAAAATCTTACTCTGGCACTCTCATCGGCGTTAATCAGAACGAATTCGTTTCTGTTGTGAGAGCCAGCAATGAGGCGACCACCAGTATTCATGTCTTCTCCACCGGAATCAAAAACGAAACGTCTGTCTTGCTCAGAGACCTAGACCCGACCCGCCCGGATGATGGATCCAGACTGTTGAGCTCCCATTCCCATTACACACCCAGAGATTGAGAGAGCATGCAGTAGGGAAGACGAAATAGAAACCGAATCGGCGACAATAAATATTTATTGGAGTCGGGTATTTTTTTATATATGTATATTTATAGTAATAATTAAATAAAAAATAAAATGAAAAGAAGAAGAGATCCTCAAGGAGGGAAAAAAACCAAAGAGTCGCACTTTCTCGGAGACAGCTATCAGTCGACTCCACCAACAAGCAAAATATATATACTTGTATATCTAAAAAGAAAAGCTCTTTGGATTTAAGCGACTGATTCACTGATTCTAGAGAATTTTACAGACTGACAAAGGCAATGTTTTGTGTGTGTGTGTGTGATAGATAGATAAATTGAGAGAATGAGGAATGAGAGAGAAAAGAGAGAAGAGGATTCGGACGACACAACTACACAACCCAGACAGAGTTGTGTTAAAATGTGGACAGCAAATTGATCAGATCAATTATCAAATGCCTCTTTATACAAACACACACACCCAGAAAAAAAAGAGAAAACGAAATTTAATAAAATTAAGAGATGGAATTGAGATTGAAACAAATGTTTGTTTATATATAATAATAATGAACAAACAGAGACGTCACATAATAAGTGGGTCCAGGAGAAAACGACGATGGCGATGGTGGAGGTGGAGGTGGAGCTGGAGAGACTGTGAGCCCCCACCTTCTAAGAGTTGGTGCAAGGAAGAAGAAAACACTCACTCCAGGAACCAAAGGTTTTGAATTTGTATCACTTTACAGTGAGAAGAGATATTTTTCCCAGACCGGACGAAACTGAAATATATTTACCCGATAAATACGGATTCGGGTCCTCCTCGTGATCGGGTCCAGATATATGTCGTAGAATTTTTACAGCAATGTAATTTTAAGAAAGCCCCTCAAGTTATTGTTGTCTTCTATTGAACCCTACAACTTATTATTATTTTCTTACCAACCAGTTCACAGTTTTAATGTTACTGTAGTTCGTAAGTTAATAAATACAATGTACACACTCAAACTACCCAAAAAATATATATATATATATATATATACTAGCTCTTAAGAAAACAAAATTATTGGATTTTTTCTGGTTAGGGTAAATAATTGTTTTGAATGTCTAACTTTAATTGTTAATATGACTGGAAGGTCACAGTTATTTTGTTGTTGACAAAAAAAAATAAAAAATTTAGTTATTTTGTTAATAATTGGACCATTTATTATAAAACGTCCAAAGTTATTAGTATATGTTACACGTGAATAACGTAATTATGGAAAAAGGAAAACTAAAGTTTATAAGCTTTTATTTTGTTGTTTGTGAAGCTTCTAAGTAGGTAGTAGGTACAATTGCATAAGAATAATTTTAGATTGTATTAATTAAAATAATGTTTATGTAAATCCTCGGCCGTTGGATCAGTATCTTTTCCAAACCAACTATGAATAAACAATTTGTTTCTTTTTGAGTTTGACATTTATTACGTCAGAAAGATTAAAAATCTTGTCGGTGGCGTAACATTTTGTTTGAAACACTGGAAATAAAATTGTTTCTTTCTTTCCTTCTTTGGTGTGAGAAAACAAAAAAGGCATAAACGTTACTTGTATGTTGAATCAGCCGACAAAACAAAATGTGTAACTACACGAGCAGAATGTTCAAACCATCGTGCACACCAAAATGAAATTAGCATGCATATATGCAAATATTTGTACACAAATATAACGTGCTTATATATGGAGAAATTGTAAATCATAACCATTCTGCTTAAACCAACGACATTTGAAAAGGTTTTTACAGTAGATTTTCCCATCTAATTGACTTAGAGCATTTAAATTAACCAGGTCAACTTCGATTAGATTATAAATATGACATGATGATGTTAATAAGTATTACTAGCGAGTATTAAAACTGATTAGAGGATAACTATGTCATCAATACAAATAAAATAAAAAAATGCATGGACTACTATAATATACCGAATGATCGTAAATGGAATTGTTAAAATGTCCATGTCTTTGCAGTATTAGGTATATAATTAAATTCTATTATTTTGATGGCGAAATGACAACCGAATCATAATTTGGATGGTACAAAGTTAGTCTCTCTATCAAATTAATACGTACGATGGCTAAGTTGGCCACAAGTGAACTAGAATATATAATACGTACGCTCATAAATATATATAGAAGTAGCCAAAATTAACCATATTCATCAACCAGCCAACCAAGCAGTTGGGGAAAACAAATAAAGGAAGTGAGTGACCACCCAAAAGAAAAATCAACAAGCCGATTTGTACAAGTACTTGCTAATCCAGGTATAATATAGATGCGTTTAGTTTAACCAGTTGGATAATAATCGCTGTTATATACTTACTACCGTATATATTTTTTCTTTTTTAATAAACATATGTAACATCTTGAGTAGTTGCACCATACTGTATTATAATATACTTGGTTTTATATTTTAGAAACCATGATTAAACTTAACAAATTTGATTCCCGTTTATTCTTTAAGTCTTACTACTGAAAACATCCAATTTGAAAGCCACGTACACACATAAAGAAGTTGTTGTTGTGACCTCTACTCTATAATTAATTGTTGCAAAGCGTATATATTTTATTTAAATCCGGGGGAGTGCAAATATTCGTCGGTCGATATATGGCCAAAAGCAATAGATGGCCTACAAAGGCTCCACCAGATCAGATAATTTATTCAATCCAAAACTAATTATTATGATAATTAATTGAGATATACTATCAGCACCGACGGAAATTACCACTAAAGTGAAGCATGTTTTTTTAATTTTGTTTTCACTGTGTCGCATTATTTTCAAACTGGCGAATAATAGAGATAGGCACCATTGTTTAATCGAATCGAATTATTGTGTTATCCTACAGTTAAAGGTCATTAGTTTTTCTTTCTTTTTTATCACTAAATCGTACTTATTCGCTATTCGAGATTATATTTAAAAATGCCAACTCCTATTATTAGTTAATATAGGTCAATGACTCGTGTCTTTTTCTTGTTTAGAATTAGTTCCACAAAGAAGAGAACTTCTATTTTAACTACTTTTTTCTTTCAATTTTTGTCTACTGTGTTGTTACTCAGAATCTGTCGGTAGCTATTTTTCACATATGAGTTTTTATCACTTTTTTTGGTTTTCATCATCAGATATATTGCTTAGACAACCGTTTAAGATATATGAAATAAAATGGTCAAACCAAACCAAGATTCGAACAATACGGCTAAAGCTGTATGAGAGATCTAGCAACTTCATTGGTATGCAGTATGCACGTGATTTGATACTTCTAGTACTAACTCCGTCTTTACTCTCCTAAACCAATGTACGGTATATTTATTATCCGCTACTTTTCATTATTTGTTAGATTCGTAAATTCGAAAGAAGTACGTTAATATGGTGAACCAAGATAATATACATAACACAATTACGCTTCGCAAATGCCAAAGTAATATTATAAGATTATGTATGTATAGGGTACGGTACACACCATACTAGTACCGAGTACGCGGTCGGCGGGACTGTACAGTTAAGTCGTATGATTAAAAAAGAGCTTTTCTAATTAATTATAATTATATACTACGATTATGGGAGTTCAATAGTTAAGATTAATCACATTAAACCAAAAAAAAAAGAAAAACAAATTAAGATTAAACCATAAAATCCTAATGATTGAGCTCAAAAGGGCAAGTTCCAACTAGCCAGACCCAAACGAGGTTATAGAGTTTTAGTGTATATAGGCCACTCTTTTCATAAGTCTATTTTAGTTCTTGCCACTTTTACGTACTTATATTTTTTATTATTGGCTCTTGTCTTTACATTTCATTAAACTTATTTTTTGTTTGAAGGATATATACTAATATATGTGGGCTGCTTAGGAAATGTATGGTGGGCTTTCAATAAGTATCTGTGGTAAGGAGGTCCATTAAAAACGCTTAAGAAGATTGGAGACCCAGGATGAAAAGGGAAAACAACACGTTTTCGACGGACAAAAGTTTTGTAAAAAACATTGTGGCTGCTGGGATTCGAGCCCAGGTCTCCACGGCCACAACGTGGAATTCTTACCACTAAACTACAGCCACTTTTGTTGTTTTATGTAATCCAATAATATATTTATATCTTAAACTTTTATATTTAAATTCACAACAAAAAAACAAACCTTTCGTATCTCCGTAACTCTTCTTTACAAAAAGCTAAAGACGCTTCACTAATCCTGCTTAATCACATTCTACCACTACATAGTCACCTACGCTCATTACTTCCCCACTAATAAAACCTTTAATTACTCTTTTAATCTCCTCTAACCCAAAATTATATCCTCCCCCAAGCACAGCTGACTATATATGCCAAACGATCACGATTCAATCGAATCACACAAAACCACTAAAGCAAATAAAGCAACACCAAATAGATAATGGCTTCAAACACCACTTTCCTCTTCTCCACCTTTACACTATTCCTCCTCATAAACAACACCACCGTCTCGGGTAGATATCTCCCGGCGGAGTCATCCAACATAGCGGCGAGGCTCCAAAGTGGAGGACTAATGGAATGCTGGAACGCATTATACGAGCTGAAATCGTGCACAAATGAGATCGTTCTCTTCTTTCTCAACGGCGAAACAAAACTCGGTGTTAGTTGTTGTGAAGCCGTCGAAGTCATCACAACTAATTGTTGGCCTGCTATGCTCACTTCTCTCGGATTTACGCCTGAGGAAGCTAATCTCCTCCGTGGCTTTTGCCAGCATCCAAACTCCGGCGACTCTTCCCCGGCTCCTTCTCCCATAATAGCTTCATTGTAATTTCCATATTAATTAAGAAATGTTGATTTTTAAAAATCTCATTATTTAACAAATTTTCATATGGAGCTTCTTTATAACACATTTAGATTTATCAAATCCATCTTTATATTATTGCCATACCGGAGATTGGTAAATTTATCTCGAATCCGAAAAGAGTTTCTATTTCTCAAGAAACAGAACATGAGCATTGAGAAGAAACACAAAGAAAGAAGGTAACTTGTCTGAGAATAAACCGATTCTCAAACTGAAAGCATGAAACGAAGATAACTCAACGCGAGAGACACAAACACAAGCATAACACACAAGATTATGAAATAGATTGTATAGCCTCCTCAACAGAGAATCCTTAGATTCGGCTGAGTCATGGAGGGCTCAAGGAGTTAGCCACGTCGATCACGAACCTGTACTTAACATCAGACTTAGCAAGCCTCTCCATGGCAGTGTTAATCTCATCCATCTTAATCAATTCAATATCAGCCGTAATGTTGTGCTTAGCGCAGAAGTCAAGCATCTCTTGTGTCTCCTTCATCCCTCCGATGTCACTTCCTCCAACCATTTTCCTTCCTGTAAACAAAACAGTAAGTGGAAAGTGGAGTTAACTTGTCATACACGCCAATAAGACCTAGCTGAGAAGTTTTTTAAATGTTTTACCGAGAACGAGAGGGAACATTGGTAGCTCGAGAGGCTTTGCAGGTAGGCCTAAAGCGATGAGCTTTCCGTTGACTTTGAGTAAACCGAGCAACGGATACAGAGCATGTACTGCTGATATCGTGTCGATTATGTAATCCATAGTTCCAATTGCAGCCTAAAGTTTTCCAAACCAAACAAATCCAATATAATTGTCACTCTTTTTACCTTCTGAAACTGAACCGATAAAAAAAAACCGGATTTAACCAACAAAGTTACTCTCTTTACCTTCATTTTCTGAGGATCGGTGGTGACAAGAAACGAATCAGCACCAAGCTGACTGATGGCTTCCTCTTCTTTCGCCGGAGACGAACTAATCACAGTAACTTTCAAACCAAAAGCTTTACCAATCTTAACAGCAACATGACCAAGTCCACCAAGTCCAGCTACACCCAAATGCTTCCCTGCCTCAGTCATTCCATAATACTTCATTGGACTATACACAGTGATTCCAGCACACAGCAATGGCGCACCCGAATCGCTTGGTAAGCTCTCGGGAAACCGCAAAACAAACCGCTGATCGACCACAATGTTCTCTGAATAGCCACCGTAGTTCTTGGTTCCATCGGATGCAATCGCATTGTAAGTGAAAGACATCTGAGGACAGTAGTTTTCAAGATCTTGGTCACACGATTCGCAAGATTGGCATGAGCCAGTGATCACTCCTACTCCTACACGATCTCCTTCTTTGAATTTGGTAACGTTTTTTCCAACTTTTGTAGCGATCCCAACGATTTCATGCCTGGATTATATAATCAAGTTTTATATATATAACCGACGAAATGTTAATGAATATATTTATTTGAACTTTATTTTAGATTACCCGGGAACTACAGGGTAATAGGAGTATCCCCAGTCGTTCTTGATGGTGTGTAAATCAGTATGGCAAACTCCACAAAACAAGATCTTCACTGTCACATCATTTTCACCATTGTCTCTGCAGAGTAGAAATCACACCAATCTATATATTACATACAGAAACAAGACAACAGAGAACAACAAAACTTTGTAATAGATCTAGGATTAAATGTAGATTCTGTTAAACATAGATGGAAAATAAGATGCAAGACACCAGATGATAAACACAGAGAAACAGAGTACGAGGAGGATCTTGCATTTTGGATTTTGGTATAAGAAGATATAGCGAAAAGGATAAGTAGGAAAACCTTCTAGAGAAGTTGAAAGGAGAGAGAAGGCCGGATTTGTCTCTAGCAGCCCAGCCAAAGACTTTGTTGGGATGCTCTGTTTCTGGAGATTTGGCCATTGCTTTAGTCTGTGTCTTTGACTGAGGAGTGAGGGTTTGAGGTTATGTTTCTGTGACTATCTCAAAGGCATATATGGGCGTTTACAGATGAGAGGAGTAGCTAGAGATATTAATAACCCTTTTATTGCTTTCACCAGTCAATTAAGACACTATATATATCTATCTATTTCTTTCTACACTTATTTTTACCATAGGATGAAATCAAGGAAGTTAATTTAATTTCTTTGTATATTGTACTATATATAAAATTTTGACTTTCTAACTGATGGTGCCACCTTAGGAAAATATCTGAAAAATAAAATTACATGATCACTATAATTATGGTTGATTATCATTTATCATAAGTAACTGGATCATATAAATCGCCTCAACTTGTTTTTGTATGGGTTTAAATCCATTTGTGTTTTTTACTTTTTATTAAACTTAAAAGAAAAGATGAAAGAAAAAGAAAAAAAAAAATAGTATACACGTGACTTAATTCATGTCCTATATACTATATTCCTTTACCAGTTAAAAGCGTCCTGCGAATTTTCTTGCATGGCCGATTAATTTCTTAAGATTAAATGACTCGTAAGTACTAATATAACACTCTCACCGTCTCACGGGTTATAGAGTACTAGCTGATTATGTAAAATGAAAACATGGATAAAAAATATGTAAGATGTATAATCAAGATGTCGTTTTCACTTTCTCTAAATTTGGAATACATGGTCACTATATATTTGCAACGTTGTGGAACTCGATCCTTCACCTCAGTCCTCACTCACATCATCACATGGTTTTGGACCGCTCAAAGTTCAATCCATTATGGAACCAATTATCCAGTTGGATGTTGTAGAAAAGAAATGTCGAATTATTTATTAAAACATGGAAGTAGCTAGCCAGCGATCTCGCCATATACCAACAATTAATGCGTGCCTTGATCCTCGTTTCACATCAGCTTTATGATTAAATCAATCATACGAGAAAACAGTTTTGATCGACTGTAAAGCACGATAGCTTTTATCAATCGATATGTTCACTCTGAAAATTACTCCCAACATTTAATTTTAAAACACATTCGATGCGAAACGTTTGGTGGGTCGTCCATGAACCGGTGGTGGTTAGTAGTAGTGTGGCTGTGTTTATTATACTAACTTACAACAAATTATGAACACGTGTCTAGATTTAACTGGCTCGAGAGTTTGGTGGCCTCTTTAAATTTGCTGCAATTAAAAGGTATGCAGCAGAGGTAGTTGTTTCATTTAATGCTCAGAATCCGGATCCGTATTCCCGATCTGGGTTTTACCCGCCCGTTTAATATTTTTTTCTCCCGGTCCACTAAAGTCTTTGCATAATCTTACAAGTTTAAATTACTACGGGCCTGTCTCGGCCCGTGTGAATCCAAGCCAAAATTTTAGAAGGTGTGTGTTGATAATAAACGGCCCCATTAATAACACGTATTCTTTTCTAAACGCAATCGCAGAAAACGGACGTTTCAAATCGTTGTAGACATCTGATGTTCCCATTAATCTTTGCGTTTTAGTATAGAGAACAAATGATTTGCTATAAAAAAAAAAACGGAACACGTAGAAACACATTCTTTTTGGTTGACGGATCGGTTTATCCTTTATAGGAGGAAATCTGAAGTTTTCAATTCATATAATAAATCCAGCGTTTACGCTTTTTTCTCGAGGAAACATAATCATCTAAACAAAAATTCCGAAACAAAACATTTTGCTATAAAAAAACGAAGAAACAAGCGTTTCAAAGGCTGTTTCACTGTGCTGCTGCTTCTCTTCCTTCCTCCTCTGCTTTCGCTTCTGTTTCTGTTTCTTTCACATTCACAACGTCAATAGCTTTCTCTTCACGAGCGGCCTCTGCGTTCTTCGCCTTCTCATCATCAACCGAAGCTTTAGTCTCAGTTGTTGTAGACTTTGTCTCTGTTTCCGGAGGGTTTGCCTCCTCCAAAACTGTTTTCAGATCTTCAGTCACCGGTATTGATTCAGGTGTAGTCTTCTCGTCAGCGGGAGCTTTGTCCTCCATCACCGGGTATTTTGACTCTGTTACCGGAGAAGTTGTCTCTGTTGCCGGAGATTTTTCCTCGGCCAAAGCTGTTTTCAGATCTTCAGCTAGCGGTACAGTTTCCGGTGTTACCTTCTCATCATCTTTTGTCTTCTTCTCTGCCTTATCCTATCAACCAAAAACCACAAACGAGCCCATAAGAATATAATAACGTCCTAAAAGTTATTACATTATTATGTTTGTGCTTAATTTGTAGCGACTTACTTGAATGAACAAGTTGCTAAGAGATTTTGCAGCGTCGATCTTATGGTATTCAAGAAGTGAATCCTTCAGCTCCTCCGGCGCCGGAGCTCCGGTTTCAGACAAAACTTTGGGTTTTAGTGCACAATTCCCCATATAGACTTTTTCTATCTATAAGTTCTCTTATTATTGTTTCTTGTTCGAGTTATCTATTGTAAGAACATGGGCTATTATATAGGCATGCACACACACAAACACATATATATATCTTGTATATAGTTGTTCCCGTCCATCTCGTTACGCGGTTAACTAGATAAGGAGGTGGGGATACAATGAGACCCTATAAGAAAAGAGTGAATCCATTTTTGTATTAGACTTTTTACTATTCACTTAACGGAAATGACGTTTATTGGACTAATTATGGCTGAAGGTTGATTATGGGGCTAGTTAATCTTTGATTCAGACTATTAGTACGGAAGGCTGAATAATATATATTTGTATAAGAAATCCCACTTATATTTCTGCTAAGTTACTCATAAGTAGGTAAATTTTACTAGTCATTTTATGTTTATAAATATAACTAGCGGAACTCGATAAATTTGTTCTCCATTTTTAACTTTATTTTGTTCCCTTTGGTAATTTAAACGGAAAGCTGGCGAGATTGGCGTTGGACGATGATTTGTCTGGTGAAGGTGGGGTTCTCTAATATTTTTGGTGTATTGTTTCAAAATCAAAATATTATACAGTTAGTTACATGTACATAGTTTGGTGACCAGAAAAAGTTTAATAAGAGTAGACTGCAAGAAAGTTTGGATTTACATTTATTAGTTCGTAGGGTTTTAAATTTGATTATGTTAGTTAGAATGCCATGTACAAATTATTTTCTGTTCGTTAGGTCGCTTAAAATATGATGATTAACATTTTGAGATGTGTAATGTGTAATATCCTTCAATGCTCAAAAGAAAAAAAAATCTAAACCAAGATATCATGAACCAAGTTGGGTAACAACCTGGTCCTAAACCCGTCCAAAACAGTACAATAGCAGCCACATTGCGTCCCTAGGACTCGAATCTCCCAATCCCATGGACCAATGCTAATGATGGTGTCACCGAGGAACTCCCAGTTCTAAGAGACGAGATAAATGGCAAGAGCATCAGCAAACTAGTACAAGAAATTGAAAAATGCAGAGATTCCTCATTGTAATTTGCATGAACACAGAAGAACTTGATATCATGAACAAAAGAAAGGAAATGCCGAGTTTGCAGAAAAGAGGCCCCAGAATGTGTGGATCCAAATAGCGTTAGATAGATTGCAAGAACTCCTTGTGAATCACAAGGATACATCAACAAAAGTGATGGAACTAGAAAAAGCACTGTTCTTGTTCATTCATTTTGTGAAAGCAAGTCCTAACATTTTGATTATTTCCGCCTTATATAGATCCAGCAGACCGGGGTCACAAAGGCGTGGCAAGTCCTATTGCATTAAGTAGAAGAACACAAGTCAGAGAAGCAAGGCTTTAGGACAATCAAAAGAAGCAACTAAATAATCTAAGACCAACTAGAAATCTCAACAAGACATGATCTGTCAAAGTTTTGTTATAGCTTTGTTCACTTGGAAAGAAGATATCTTTCACAATCATCATCCAGTTTCATATCTAAACAGTTTTGTTTGTGCAAAAAAAAAAACAGACTTTGAATCCAAAGAGTATAGACTAATGAAAACACTCTTGCCATAATTATGCTACAATACAATAAGACAATCTAAATCTTGCAACTTTCAAAGAGTTTTAGATCCAATTCATACGAGAGTTTCTACTATCTAGCTTACTAAAACAATAAATCTGGAGGTTCAATCTTCAGTCGCAAAACTTTTCAAATGCAGAGCAGATAAAGCAGAAAACAGAATCAACCCACTTAACAAGACGCATAAAGACAGAAAATTTGAAGGATAATAAACAAAGAAACGAGGAAAAAAGAGAGAAAATAATTACCCTGGGAAAGCAAGCTCCAGCAAGAGGAATCAGCAGCGATGCTTGACCTGAGCCGAGCTGAAGCAACAGCACTGTGAAGCGGCATCATCGTTTCAACACTTCCCAAAGCCGAGAGAACCCTTGGAATTGTATGGAAAAAGGTTTCTGATTAAAACACTAGGCATACTCGAACAGTTCACAAACATGTACAAATTAAAGACAAGGAAAATGAGTGAAATTTCTTTGAAAAAGGTAAAAAAAAGAGTGCGAACCTTGAAGCGCGAGGGATGGACTGAGACATTGAAGCGAAAGGAGCTGAAGTCGCTGTGGGTTTAAGGTTAAGGGACTTTTGAGTTACGGTTTTGGATCTTGATGCTAAGTTTCTGGAACCTGCCATTAACGCTGATCTGCAAAACGATGCCATCTCTTGCTTGTAGGATTCGCAGAGCACAAATTTTCTTGAATTGGAAATTTGGAATCTCAAGGAAAAGGAGGAGGAAGAAACACACAAGTGAGATGGAACGACAACAGCACTAAACCCTACAACCGAAACGGCGTCGTTTCCTTATTTCCACGAAGAATAGCATAAATTTACCCTCGTAAAGTAAAAAGCTCATTAGTAAAAAAGGAAAGAAGATTAGGGTGTGAGGGGTAAAATCCAAAATGGGATTAAGCGGCGTTTACTCTGATTGACCGGAAGAGATAGAAAGAAGAGAGAGCAGGGGGCAAAGCTCTTTCGATAAAACCTAAATGGCGGAAGAGGCGATACTCCGGTTCCTGCAGAACAATGAACAGATCACGGATTCGGGTCACTTCGCTGCCGAATTCAACCTCGACCACAACGAAGTCGTCAATGTCATCAAAAGTCTCCATGGTTTTCGTTACATTGATGTTCAGGTACTCCTGCTTACCCGTTTAGCTGGCGTATTTGTAGTCTTAAATCTTGTATCCGACCCCATGATTGTGAGTTCTTTGACTGAATTTGGTCAGCGGAGAATGACAAATTCGATAGGGTTTGGATTATGGATCTATTGTGTTAGATTAAGGCGTTTTAATATCTTGTTGAAATTTTAACGTTTTTCCATGAATGCCACTGAAGAATATCAAATTGTGCCATAAGTTTCTATCATTAACAAGGTTTATTGAACTAGTTTTGCATTGCAATATGATGCGCCGTTGAAACATGGGTTGATTATTCTCTGCAGGACTTAAAAAAAGAGACTTGGGTTCTGACTGATGAAGGGAAGAAATATGCAGCAGAAGGCTCACCAGAAGTACAACTTTTCCTAGCTGTGCCAGAAGAAGGTAGCATATCAAAAGATGAGCTCCAGGTGATTGTTATGGATTTGTACATGTATATATGGTGGGTTTTGTTAGTCATACTTTAACTGTCATAAATTTCTTCTACTATTCAGAAAAAGCTAGCTCCTTCTGTTTTCAAGATCGGCTGTTCACAAGCTGGAAAAAACAAGTGGGTGGAAATGGGGAAGCAAGTCTCGAGGAAGGTAATGGTTTATTTTCTGTTTGCTACCTCCTTTTTTGGATGTTTGGTAGTCAATAAATCAGTTCAACATATGGTACACAAACTCACGTTTTTGTTTGTTTAGTCTGCACCAATCTGAACCATTTTATTGTAGATTCAACATGTAGAAGATAAAGTGAAAGGCCAGCTTTTACAAATACAAGAAGGAAAGGTTTGTGCTATGTTATTTCAGTAGAGAGTTCGTCTCTTGTATTTACCTTAGTGATTTAAATTAATCTGAAGCATCCCTTGTTCCCCTTCAGGACTTTGATAGAGACAGTATCAGTTCTCTTAAAGCCAGAAAACTCATAGTACCACAGTAATTGTTTCCACTTTTCTTTCATGTTTTGTTCCTTTTGAAATCATTCAATAGCTGATATCCTTTCTACTTCACAGGATATGGAAGGGGTATTCCATAACAAAAGGTCCTAATTATGCTCCCGAGAGAAAGAAAGTGGCCACTGATTTGACTCGAGAAAATCTTCAAAAGTTCGTCCTAAAACTTGCATTTTCTTTTTAACTTCCTAATACTATTGTAGGTTGAATATGCAATTAAGATAGGAAATTGGTGTATTTGCAGCTGGAAAGAGTTAGAGTTTAAGGAGTATAATTTCAATGCTAAAGGAGCGCCTCTTGAAGCGGGGCATCTTCACGCCCTTCTCAAGGTAAGCTGACAAAAAAAAAACTGGTTGTATCCCTTGGTATAGCTAAGTATATATATTGTATATAAGTGGTTATCTTCTCTATTATTGTGCTTGGGTAGCCGTTTTTTTTTAACAAGCCTCATAAAAAATTTTATTATACTTTTCTTGTCCCTTAGGTGCGGAAGCAGTTTAAAGACATATTTGTTCAGATGGGGTGAGAGAAACTCTTGTCATATATCGTTATCTCTCTCTATTTTTCTGTTGATGGCTAAAATTAATGGAGAGCCTTATGTGGTCACAGGTTTGAGGAGATGCCAACAAACAACTTTGTGGAGAGCAGGTATCATCGAATTATTACAGAATTTTGGTCTTCAGCTTTTCATGGAGGCTTGACGAGATCTTATTAGACATTAGTTTTTGCTATTTGTTAGCTTATCTTATCCTGTTTCCCATACTCTATAGCTTCTGGAATTTTGATGCATTGTTCCAGCCTCAGCAGCACCCTGCTCGTGATTCTCATGACACCTTCTTTCTAAAAGGTTCAACTTTTAAATGTTCAGTCACAAAATTTGTTGTTTGGGACAACTTTTTCTTGGTTGCTTGTTGACATCTCAAAGAATATCTACCTCTTAATTTAAAGGCGTAAATCTTTGAATGCAGCACCTTCTACTACAAGGACTCTGCCGGAAGATTATGTTGACAGGGTAAAATGTGTTCATGAGTCTGGTGGTTATGGATCAAGAGGGTAAATGACTTGTATCTGCGTACTACCTTGTATTAGTAATAATAATTTGCAATCACTCTGACATGGCCTTTGCATTAAAGGTATAATTATGATTGGAAAAGAGAAGAAGCTAACAAGAATCTTCTCCGTACTCACACAACGGCTGTCTCATCTCGGATGCTTTATGCACTAGCACAGGTCCAACTGAACTTTAGCTTACAGATTGTGAGACGTTGGTTTCCAGTATTCAGTAGTATAATTAGATTTCTATCTTACTGTAGAAACCTTTTGTGCCCAAGAAGTACTTTTCCATTGACCGTGTCTTCAGAAATGAGGCTGTTGATCGGACCCACCTTGCAGAGTTTCATCAAATTGAAGGTATAGTTCTAATGGTCAGAGTTGTCACAGTTGGGGATGTAAATCAAAGTTAGCATCATCTTCTGTCAAAAATTTATTGTCAGTAAGTTAAATGATCTCATGTATGGATTAGGTTTGATATGTGATCGGGGCCTTACACTGGGAGACCTGATTGGTGTATTAAAAGACTTCTTCTCACGCTTAGGTAAACTCTTTCTTTAGGTTGCTACTTAATCTGAAATTTGGTTTGCCTTAGGCTCGAGAGAGAAAGAAAACCTCTTTATGCGATCATGCTTTTCAGGGATGTCGAAACTGCGGTTCAAGCCAGCTTACAACCCTTACACAGAGCCAAGCATGGAAATTTTCAGGTAACTGGTCAAATATATTATCTTCTAAAATGCGTAAAACATAGACATAAAAAGTAAAACATTGCATTTTCCTGGATTTCAGTTACCATGAAGGTTTAGGGAAGTGGGTGGAGATAGGGAACTCGGGTATGTTCAGACCCGAAATGCTTCTACCAATGGGTCTCCCCGAAGATGTTCGGGTCATTGCTTGGGGTCTTTCTCTTGAAAGGTAAGAAATTTGAATTTTCCTCAACATTTCATGGTCGTTGCTGATTCTTTCTTGGTTTTTGTTCATAAACCAGACCGACGATGATATTATATGGCATAGACAACATTCGGGATTTGTTTGGACACAAGGTAACCACAAGATCTTTACTTCTTCTGACGTCTTTGTATAAACATTCCCTTGTTCGATTGCAATGTACACTTAATATGTGTTTCATTAAACTCGAACCGTGTATCATTCTTCCTTGCAGGTGGATCTAGATCTCATTAAAAGGAATCCAATCTGCCGAATTGGAATCTGAGTGGTATTCTTATTGGTTCTTTTACTATTGTTCAAGATGATGCTACTTTATATGTTAGCCTTTTTGATGATCCCTTGGTATTTTCAGTTCTAACTCTCCGGTTATTGGACTTGCATCCATATTAATGCTTGTGTGTGCTCAACTCAGTTACGTTACTGCTTGTCGAGATTTTGTTCTTTTTGGTTATGTTCGTTACTTGTAATATCATCTTTGCTCACTACTAACATCTATTTCCGACGAGAAGAAAACGATATATTGTAAGGAAACAAAATATAGCCCTAGAGCAAAAAAAAACAAAACGAGGATAAAATAAAACAAATTAATACAAGAGTAATTTGGCGAAGAGGCCCAGCCCAGTAAGTACAAATCCATCGGGTAAGGAAAGGCAGATCAACCCAGTTAGTTCTAACATTAAACACGTTTCACCAAAATAATAATACGTGACAAAATTATAATTGACAAGATTATGGCCATGAATGTTTCTAAGATTTTAAGTGGGTTTTAAAAAATTTTGGTTTATGATTTATAGATTTTGTAATAAATGAAAAGAAATGAAAATGGCAGAAAAATGTCAACTCAAGTTGGAAAAAAAGGAAAATCACAAAAGTTTAGTTTTTGGATTAAAAGAAAGAATTAGAAAAAAAAAAATTAAAATCTGGAATTCTTAATTTTCAAGAACTTTATTTTTTATTTACAAAAAAAAAAAAAGGAAGATAGTAAAGAGTTGATAGTATAAAAGAAGATCAAAAAGACAGTTTCCCAGTAAACCAACGTAAAAGACTTGGTAACGTGAGCGGAGATCCCGATTACGATGAACTCTACGGAACAATCTCTTCTTCATGCGAATTCTGAGAAATCCGCCGTGGAGAAGGAGCCTGAGGCTTTCCGAAAGGCCTTGGCTATCATTCTCAAGGAGCGTTCTTTCTCCTATCCATCTTTCGATATTTACAAAGGCGTCACCGGACTTTTAGATTACGGTCCTAGTGGTCGCCTTGTTGAGCTTAACGTGCTTAGCCTCTGGCGTAAGGTGAAGATCACTCACATATCTCTGCTCAATTCAGTTCGATAGACAAGACAGTGTTCCTTCACATGATTTGATTTTGATTTTTAACAGTATTTCGTTAATGAGGAGGACATGCTTGAAGTCGGTTGTACAGCCTTGACACCAGAGATCGTTTTCAATGCATCTGGGCATGTTAAAAAGTTCACTGATCTTATGGTCAAGGATGTGATCAATGGGAAAAATCACCGTGCCGACCACTTGGTCAAAGGTTATTGTGAAAGGCTAAAGAAAGATGTCACCATCTCTGCTGAGAAAGCTGCTGAATTGGATAATCTCCTCTCTGTTGTGGAAAATCTTTCTGCTGAAGAGCTTGGTGCCAAGATACAGGAGTACGGTATCACTGCTCCTGACACTAACAATCCACTTTCTCATCCTCCTCGCCCGTTCAACTTAATGTTTCAAACATCCATTGGCTCATCTGGTTCAACTAACGGGTGAGTATTTTTCCATGTAATAATTGTTTCTTTCTTGAGTTTCTCTTTTATCATGTTATTTTCTTTCTTTTCTTCTTGTTTCTTTTAGTTACCTGCGTCCTGAAACTGCTCAAGGCATTTTTGTGAACTTTAATGAATACTATAAAGACAGTGGGGAAAAACTTCCTTTTGCCGTGGCTCAAGTTGGTCGAGTCTTTAGGAATGAGGTGTATATCCCCTTCAATATTCTACTTGATATATTGAATACAAGGGATCTTGTTTCCTATTTTATCTCTGGGTTTCAATAATTAAGTAGCCTCTTACTCGCAGATATCCCCTCGTCAAGGGCCTATAAGAGCTCGTGAATTCTTGCTGGCAGAAATTGAGCACTTTGTTGATCCTGAAAACAAGTCGCATCCCAAATTCCCCGATGTAGAATCATTGGAATTCCTTATGTTTCCAAGAGAAGAGCAAGAAAAGTCCGGCCAATCTGCGAAAAAACTATGCCTTGGCGAAGCTGTTGCTAAGGTCAGCATTTGTAATCATACTCTCGCCTACCTCTCTTTGAACTTACACTGATGCCTAGTACTGTATTTGAATAGGGCACTGTGAACAGTGAAACTCTAGGATACTTCATTGGGAGAGTGTATCTTTTCCTTGTTTGTCTTGGCATAGACAAGGAACGGCTGCGTTTCCGCCAGCACAAAGCAAATGAAATGGCCCACTATGCAGCAGATTGTTGGGATGCTGAAATTGAGTGTTCATATGGCTGGATTGAGTGTGTTGGAATTGCAGATAGGTCTGCTTACGACTTACTTGCTCACTCCGTAAGTTACTTTCCTCTTACCTCTATTTTTTTCTCATCATTTCTTTTCCCAGCTAGATTATAATTAGTCCCATTTGTATTTAGATTGTGGACCCTTTGTTGTGTGGCAGAGAATAAGTAAGGTTGCTCTTAAGGCTGAAGCGAAATTGGCAGAGCCTATACAAGTAGAGGTATTCTGCTCAACTTTCTTATCTCTTCCATCTTTAACACCTGTCCCTAATATGGTTCTATTTTATTTCAGGAACTTGTTATTACCCCTGTAATGAGAGAAATGGGTCTTGCATTTAAGGGAGATCAAAAAAATGTGGTTGAAGCTTTGCAGGTAGACTGGCTGAAGTCTATTGTTCTACTAGAATAGCTTCTTTGCTCTCATGGTTTATAATAAAGAACATGCTTGGTCTTATTATTTGTTAGGCGCTCAATGAGGAAGAAGCCATGAAGATGAAGGGGACTCTGGAATCCAAAGGGGAAGTGGAGTTTGAAGTGTGTACCCTCGGGAAAAAAGTGACCATCAATAAGGACATGGTGTCAATCTTAAAAAAGAGGACATTAGTGTCCACGCGGGTTTTCACTCCGTCAGTGGTTGAACCATCGTTTGGGATTGGTCGGATCATGTATTGTATGTACGAGCATTGTATCAGCACAAGGCCAAGCAAGGCAGGGGATCAACAACTGAACGTGTTCCGTTTCCCCCCTCTTGTAGCACCCATCAAGTGCACGGTTTTCCCTCTTGTGCAGAACCAACAATTCGAGGAAGCAACCAAACTCATTTCCAAACAACTCAAATCTGATGGCATCAAACACAAGATTGACGTCTCTGGTACGTTAAACAAATTGAAACTAAAAGTGTTTTCTATTTTCCAAAATAGAGCAACTGAGTGGGAAGATTTGTTTGTGTGTGTGAATAGGTAAATCGATAGGAAAGAAATATGCAAGAGCTGATGAGCTTGGTGTGCCATTTGCAATAACAGTGGATTCAGAGACATCAGTCACAATAAGGGAAAGAGATAGCAGAGACCAAGTCCGAGTCAGCTTGAAAGAGGCAGCTTCCGTCGTAACCTCCATGGCTGAGGGGAAGAAGACGTGGCAAGACGTCTGTGCAAGATTGAATGGTTAGGGGTTGTGTTTACAGATATTAAGCTGTGTATAAAATCATGCTTTGCCTAAAGTTGTTTTAAGATAATACATATAATACTAATATATATACATTATAATTTTGTTACAAGAAAAAATGTTTTCTGCATAAAACAATCTAATAAGTATCACAATAATCATGTTGATATCAAATTGGGGTTTACTTGTATGATTTTAATGAAAAAAAAATTGGAGATATGTAAATGGATTGGAAGGTCTACCTCGAGTTAGAGGAAAGATGGCGATTTTGTGGGAGGAGCATGTGTCACTTGGGAATGTGGAGAAGGTGTGCATAAACTACACTTGAAAGATGCCAACGAATGAGAGATTTGTGTAAGAGTTGTGAATAGTTAGGGTTTGTGTTTACTAATCAATAGTACCAAAATATATGATTCTTATGCATGCATGTTCATTGTTCTCGCTAGCTACTACAAGCTTGAAACCGGTTTTGCAACTAGCAAGCTGTATTTTAGTTTCTATGGGCCGAAAGTTACATAATCTAACCAAATAATATTAGATAGGCCCAATAACGAAAAAGTCAGACCCAATTACTTTTTCACATAAAGACGAGCCGAGGGGGATACAAGTGTCATTTAAGAGCGAAGATATTTTTACGCTTGCAACGAGGAGAAAACAAATATTTATTTACCTAAATGATCACATGATGTGGGCCAATATATATATCACTATACCAAAATTAAACCATAGTATATGCAGTGTGTTAATCAGAGTTAATATTCCAATTTTAAAAACTTGGGACAATGACACTAATCTTTCAGCAAACCCTGGAAAATATCTTTAACCCTAGTTAGTTATTACGTCACACCTCTTCTATAAATCAAGGCTGCGTCTTGTCATATCAAATCACACAAGTCTCTCTCTTTCTCTCTCTTATTTCGAAACCCTAGTTTGTCTTTTTCCTTTTCAAAAAAAAAATGGCTGAAGTTGAGTACCGGTGCTTCGTCGGCGGCCTTGCCTGGGCCACCGGAGATCAGGATCTACAGAGGACGTTCTCAGAGTTCGGCGAAGTTATCGATTCTAAGGTCTGTTACACGAGAGATCGGTCTCCCGGATCGAGACGATTCCGATGATTCTGATCCTCGGCGGATCTGATTCCGATCTGTGTTTCTCTGTTACTTGATTACTGTTACTATGTTCTCTCCTTCTTTGTTACTGTTACTTATTTTTTCCCATCGGTACGTTCATCTTCCTGCTTCTGTGAGCTCGGAGATCGATCGATTCTGTTTATTCCTTCGTTCTTGTCCAAATATTTGATCCGATTGTGTTTTTGCTGATTTGTGTGAGCTGTTTGATTTTGTTTACAGATCATTAACGATCGTGAAACTGGAAGATCAAGGGGATTCGGATTCGTGACCTTCAAGGAAGAGAAATCCATGAGGGATGCCATTGAAGAGATGAACGGAAAAGAGCTCGATGGCCGTACCATCACCGTTAATGAGGCTCAGTCAAGAGGAAGTGGCGGCGGTGGAGGAGGTCGCGGTGGTGGTGGAGGTTACCGCAGCGGCGGTGGAGGAGGATACTCCGGTGGAGGCGGATACGAGAGACGTAGCGGAGGTTACGGCTCTGGCGGAGGCGGTGGTAGCCGAGGTGGATACAGTGGGGGTGGTCGCCGTGAAGGCGGTTACGGAGGAGGTGATGGCGGTTACAGCGGTGGCGGAGGCGGTGGCTGGTAATCAATGATAGTCCGGTTTGGAGCTGGTCTGTGTTTGGTTGGTTTTAGATTTGGTTGTGTGTCACCGTTTGGTTCTGGTTCGTTTGGCTTACTTTTTTGATGAAACAGATCGTTCAATGTCTGGAACGAAATGTTAATTCGCGTGTTGTTCACTATATTTTTAAGGTTTCTTTGACCACATTTCTCTCTCTATTAATTTTTGCACGATTTCATTTACGCCGATACAAAATAACGTGCGCTTAATATTTTGAATCTGGCACAGAAAATATACCTCGAATAATCTCTTTCCTTGAAAGGTACCTTTAATTATTTGGTCGTATGTATATATAATTTTAAAGCGCAAAGTAATTCATTACCAAAAAAAAAAAGCGGAAAGCAATTATTACGTTCACAATAATAAGATAAGACCCAATGGGCTCATGCCAAAATTTGATGGAACGAGATTCGAGATTTTCTCCTTCTGAAGCCCAAACTATAAATAATACAAGAAGCTCTTTATGTTTTCTGTGCTGAAATTTACCAGAAAATTTCGACTTGCTTTTTAATACGTGACTATTGTCAACGTGACAAGTGTGTAAAGAGGCTTATTGAACAATGCTCAGTTTAAGTTTACTCATTCTCCGTGTTCAAACAGTCTGGAAGACAAATCAAACATTACCATTACTCTGTTATACTCAAATCAGTAAATTTGGATAAAGAAGATTATATGTAGTGATTGACTGACGAGTCTACCCTTACCGGTTTAAAATTCATGGGGTTAATTTATTAGTAACAAACGTTAACATACATTTCTATTATACATGAAAAGTGTTACCATATCCAACAAAACGGCAAGCAGAGTTTTATCTGTCCAAGTTTGGTTGTTATGATCAAAGATAACTAAAAGACGAAGATTCCTGCTTCTTTGTCTCTGCATTTCCCTCCTACAACTGTGTTAACAAATAACAATTTATCTATAGTATAAACCCAGAGAAACAAACTACATCTTTAATTGAGCTAACACAAACTAAGTCTACTAGGGAACCAAAAATTACATCAGGATATATAGTTCCTCAAGTTGCAATGAGGACCAACAACTATGCTTGGAATATATTGTACCTAGTGTATGCTCACACTTTCTTTTCTTTTTTTTTTCTTTTTCTTATCATACATATATTCTTGGAAAGCTACGTACTGTGATCATTTAAACAAATCATCACGAGCTAGGCAACGTGTTTCATAAAGGGCCTGGTGCCTTCATTATAAGGAATTTGCAACCTGAGGCTGGAGATATGGAAGTAAATCCACCAAATCTTACCCAATGTAACTCTTCATGTCACAAATCGTAAGATACAGATTGCAGAGTATCCATATTGCGTTAAAACAACCAATTTATCTGAGAATTCTCAGTCTACACCTCAGGAGTTTACCCAAAACCTGAAAGTTAAATGTGGGAGGTATATTATCTACCATTTTAACACCTATGTAATTAAGAAGAAAATAATGATGAGAATATATATATTGTGACTGCCTAGTTGCAGAATCCCATTGCAACTAGCAGCTATATCTCTAGAATATATTGTTTCCACCAGCTCATGATTAAGATTCTTTTGTCTGGTTCGGACTTTTCTTTCTACGTAAAGTAGTTTATTCTTTATCCCAAAACCATGGCAGTCTTACCAAGCAGGTGCTTAACTGATAATGAGATGTGTATTGGTGATTAACAACAAAGACTGTAAAATTCAAACAACCAGTAAAGCATAACAAAGACAATCTTTTCTGCCACAAATCTTTGAAGCCAAACAACAGAAAGTTCTATATCCAATGACCGTTTAACCAATTGAAGCATCATGGTTGCCAAACTTCAAAGAGAATTGACATTTTCCACATCAGAATATGGTCTGCTGTAACTTTATCTGATGTTCAAGACATGTCTAATTAACAACAAAAGTTTCCTGCAAGGACTTCAATTCAAGATAACCTATGAAAGAAAATAGAAAAATTTCTCCCTAACGTTAAGGCCAGAGTTTTCCACAAAGTAGATGAAGACCAACATATAATTTGCTAAATTTCTAAGCTTAATCAAGAATTCAGTGTGAGAATTAAAACCTGCTCTGATGCAACTCCTCACTAACTCAATCAAGAAGACATGAAAAGTTATCACAACAGTAAAAACACATTTAGGCGATATACCTACCAAGTAAGGAAAATAATCAAATATTTAGTGATTAGTTTGGATCTTTAGATACTGATCTCCACAATAGTTGCTGATATTCTCTTTTCTTATTCTTTCTTCTCATTAGTCAATTCCTATGGAGAGATAAGGACTGAAAATTCTCTTCGTTTCTGCAAGATATTTGTAACAACTGGCACTACCTAAAACTCACCTTATATAGAGGAAGTATTATGCAACATCTGTATACATATCTTCCTCTTGACTTGTAATCTCTGCATATCTTTCTAACCAGTTATATTACATATATCGTCGACTAATTAGTCTATAACTCACAATGGCATCAAGCTCAATGTCTTCTCACAGCTCTGGCTCGTGGACCGCTAAGCAGAACAAAGCCTTTGAGCAGGCTCTAGCTACCTATGACCAGGATACTCCTAACCGTTGGTACAATGTTGCCAAAGTCGTGGGTGGGAAAACAACAGAAGAGGTAAAGAGACACTACGAACTCCTGGTGCAAGATATCAACAGCATAGAGAACGGTCACGTTCCATTCCCAAACTACAGGGCTAGTGGAGGCTGCACCAATGGCAGGCTGAGTCATGAGGAAAAAAGGTATGTGTATTGTCCCTACTCCCTAATTAGACGCATTATGCTAATCAAGAATACAAAACAATTCCAAATAAAATCACCAATTTGCAGATACTTTCATAGAGTTTCAGCACAAAGCTTTCAAGAGACTAAATAGTCTTCCATTTTTTTCTTATATGCAGGATGAGAGACATGAGGCTGCAGTGAATCAAAAAGCCATCGAGAATAAAAGAGGATAACACCGAGTTATTGTTTTTATATTATACACCTAAATTCTCATGTCTCTCCCATAAGCTTAACGCTAAATTTGAGGAATCCATATCTTTGAAATATCCAGTTTTAACAGTTGAAGCTGTATTAAGGATTCCTTGCAATGAAAATTCCAACACTATCATGAAACATTGTCTTTGTATTAATAACTAAAGCGGAAAAACAATTAAAGCTGGGAAAACCTGCCGATCGCGAGATTATGAATTTAATAGAGAGAGACGCAGACATGGCGGGAAATTTGATACTTGCGATTGCGAATAATAAATAAAATTTTGCACATTGAGGCCTTTGTAGAAATATGGGCCGAAGCCCATTTATTGTGTGATTGAAAAGATGATATAAACGGGAAAGTGTTGTTTGCATTTTCGCGATTGACATTTCATAGCGGCGGTGATGCCTCTTTCTGCTGCGAGTTCGAGTTCTGTTCGCTCAATCGCCGAAGAGCCGCCGCCGAAGAAACAGCTTGTTCCGGCGCGGTCGTCGTCTCTGCTACTGCTTCCAGATGAAATCATTCTCAATTGCTTCGCTCGCGTGCCGAGATGTTTCTACCCGATGATTTCACTCGTCTCCAAGACCTTCAGGCGTCTCATCGCCTCGCCGGAGATCTACGTCGATCGGTCAGTACTTGGCTGCACTGAACGTGTTCTTTATGTTGTGCTCAGATCTCACGCTACCGAAACTCCTCGATGGTACACTCTCAATTTCAAACCCTTTGAAAATGAGTCCAATAACCATATATTGGTCCCGATTCCGACGTTCCCTCCGATTCCTTGCTGGGGCATGTCTATGGTGGCGCTTGGCTCGGAGATTTACGTCCTTGGTGGATGCATCGATAACGAATTGGTCTCCACTGGGTTTGTTGTCCAATGTCCATCTCACACTTGTCGCTACCTCCCTAGCATGAAGCAGGCGCGTGGCTGCGCCGCCGTGGGATTTGTCGACGGCAAACTATACGTGATCGGGGGTTGTGACTCTCAGTCTTCTAATTGGGTGGAGGCTTTTGACCTCAAGACTCAAACTTGGGAGACTGTCGTGGGTGTTCATAATGTGGAGGTGCATGACTTAACCATCAGAAGTTTTGTCATAGATGAAAAGATCTACATCATGGATCGTAAGAATAGCTTTGTTTACGATCCTAAAGAAGGTAGATTGGAGAGTGATGAGTTGTTGGACACACAGTGGAGTGTGGGTTCTTGCGTCATCGATGGCAGGTTGTTCACTCTTGGTAGCAAGAATAAAATATGGGTCTTTGATCCAGTTACGAGGGTTTGGGATCGCGTGAAGGGTCTCGAACCCCTTCCTGACAAGCGTGATGGTTGTAGACTGTCCAATCTTGGTGGAAATCTTGCTATTATGTTTAACCTTAACAAGGGTTCAACTGAAGTTTTTTGCACAGAGATCAGCTTGGAAAGGAGAGGAGGAAGGATTTGGGGGACGACCCTGTGGTCTAATACTGTGATTACCTTGGAAAATTCTTCCACCATTGTACGATGTCTAGCTGTAACAGTTTGATAACCTCGTCAGAGGTTGTAAAGGTATGCTTCAGACTCCTTTTTCCAAGGCTTTGTTATCAAAGGATTTGATTGATGCTTTATCTGGTAACAATCGCATTTAAATATTCTTACCAATGTCTTGCCTAGATGAGTTTGCAGGAACCGAGAATTGATATATTTCTTTTTTGCAAAGATATGAGAGACGAGTTTGTAAAATATGTTAAATCTGATATTACTTATTGACATGGGCTTCCCAAAACATGTTCTTGTATATTGCAGCTTCAAGCTTGATAATCTGTAAATGTACCGGAGCAGCTTGGTCTGATCAAGATGAAAGAACATACGGCTTTACTGGATAGTTGTTGGTATCCGAAACTTAACATAGATATCTTGTGGATCTTTCGGCTGGATGCGAGTACTTTTGCAACTTATGCCTCTCGCTTCTTTGTTGTACGACTCTTTTATGTATGAAACCATGTTGTAAGATCAATAGCTACAAATAATATGTTACCAGTTGTTTAATTTAGTGTCTGAAAATTCTGTTCTTGGTCGGAAAATATCTTACAGTAATATTATTGAAACATCATCTGCAAATTTCTTAGGCGATCTTTTAGATTGTATCAACTTCTCGATGTGTAAAGGTAAAGCTTTAAAGAGGAAGATTCTCCCCTAAGTTTGGTGCTTTCATTGTTCTACTACTCACCCAAGTACTATTCCTACTGTAGATTATCATATATTGGAAACACTGATGTGATTTTAAACAAGAAAAACGACATGGTATCTTCAGACAACTTAGCTGGATAGAACATACTCTTTACTCCGACACTGTCGTCTGAAGAGGCAATTGACTCTCCACTCCCTTTGCATCCTCAGCTTGCTTCTCTGCGACAGCCTTTGATAATCCAAACATCTGAAACCAACCCACATAAGCTTAAGTTAAGACTTAAAAGACAGATGATCACGGAATGAAGCTGCAAAATGCATGAAGCCAGAAGTAAAAAGAAATATAAAATAACAGTAGCAAATGTATTGAACAATATCATATGAGTGAGAGTACATGTCTGACACACAAGTAGTTGCCATTTGTACTAAAACACACAAAGCAGATACGCCAAATCTATCCATGCCTATTTCTGAAGAAAAGATTCAATAAGAGAGTTGAGAAAGAACCTTGCTGATGGTCTTTTGGAAACAGGACTTGTGTTCATCCACTGATGCATGTATGAACTCATCAATGTGATCTTTCACGTCCTCAAAGAAAGTGGCATCATCCTTCACCTTCTTCCTACATGAAGTCATGGCCGGTTTTGCAGGGATTTCGCTTTCATTTTTCTGGGCCTCCATAGTAATTAGTATACCTGCATAAATAAAATTAAACAAGAATGATTAAACCAAAATCCAACCCAAGTAACCACCACAGAACAACCAAGAACCCCAGAGAGAAGCAGCATCATCTCGGGAAGCCATAATCCCAACAGTAGTATTTCAATACTAAAAAGAGTAGATACAGTTCTTTACAACTTTAGAACCGAAATTAAAAGTAGCTGAGCACATCAAGAACAACAAACGAGTTCCACAATAAGACCCACCAAGTATTCGATTAAATGCCATACAAGGAACGAAAAACCTTAAACAAAAAAAAAAACTCAACACGATTCCAAGCAAAATCGAACAGATGATTCTTTCAATTCCCAAACATCACCATCCATTATCCATTTCTTATAATTTCACCTAATAAACTACAGAGAACAAGAAAGCTTCATGATTAGTTTTTTTACCTCTATGAAATATTTATTTCACTTCTTCTCGAGAAGATGAGTCGAATGTGTATATTTAGTATAGGCGATTCTAGACTTTTGGTAGATTAGTAATCAGCTACAGCGAAGATCACGCTATTCACAATATTCAGCCTTGCAGGACAAGTGGGCCTAAAACGCATCGTTTTATGTAATTTATAAATGGGCCTTTAAAAGGGCCCAACCAATTACAACTGTATTAGGGACAAGGAACGTTAAAGCCGCCAATTTCACCAACCAAACCCAACAACAACACTGAACACTCTCGTACGCAAATTTTGACTGAAAAAGTAGCTCAAGTGTTGACTGACTGGTATTATTGATTGTCAATTACAAAAAGCCTCTGTTCTCTCAATTACAAACTACACAATTGTCATAAAACCTTAAAAAGGAAATTGAAGTAAAACAAAGTCCGCAAATTTGGGATCAATCTCTGAATCATTCCGTTGTTACGCGCCACCGAGGTTGCTAGTGTCTCCGCTCCTTTCTTTCTCCGGCGAAATCTGAGTTTGTATTAACCTAAAATAAAAATGGGGAGTAAAAGCAAAATCTTGTTCATCGGAGGAACGGGTTACATCGGGAAATATATAGTGGAAGCGAGCGCGAGAGCTGGCCACCCAACCCTAGTCCTCGTTCGAAACTCGACGCTCACCAGCCCTTCACGAGCGATCACCATCGAAAATTTCAAGAATCTCGGCGTTCAGTTTCTCCTCGTTCGTATACTTGTTAACGCTTTTTATGATTTGCTTGCTTTCTCATTCATGATTTAATGATTTGCTGATTATGTTTGTAATGAAACTGGATAGGGAGATCTTGACGATCATACGAGTCTCGTTAATTCGATCAAGCAAGCAGATGTGGTGATCTCTACGGTTGGACACTCCCTCTTGGGACATCAGTACAAGATCATCTCTGCCATTAAAGAAGCCGGTAACGTTAAGGTAACTACCTAATACTCCTCTCTCTCTCTCTCTCTCTCTTCTTCAAAGTATGTATAATTCTTGTCTCATAGGATTGAACTTTGACATTTGGAACACTTCATGAATTTGTTATGTCCTGTATTGGTGGAACAACGGTTTCATTTCACCAAATATCGACACTATGTTTTTGCTTCTGAGACCAATGCATTGGTTTTGGTCTCTTCGTGTGTGCCTTTTAGAACCAGTGAATTTGGATGTTTTCCAAATTTAGACTCTGATATTGCATCCACCAATCCAATTCTTCTTATCTCTCTTACCAGAGATTCTTTCCCTCGGAGTTTGGAAATGATGTAGACCGTGTTTACACTGTGGAACCTGCCAAGTCAGCCTATGCTACAAAGGCAAAACTTCGGCGAACAATTGAGGCCGAAGGAATCCCGTACACTTATGTCTCATGCAACTTCTTCGCTGGCTACTTCCTCCCAACTCTAGCACAGCCCGGGGCTACTTCTGCTCCACGGAATAAGGTCATCGTTTTAGGTGATGGAAACCCCAAAGGTAAGAGACCACTTTTTTTTTATCCACCTTCTGCTCCACGGGATAATTAAAGATCATCCATCGTTCTAGTTCCTCCCTTCTTGTCTTTTGATTGCTGGTGATATTTTGAAGCTGTGTTCAACAAGGAAGAAGACATCGGGACTTACACAATCAATGCCGTAGATGATCCAAGAACCTTGAACAAGATCTTATATGTTAGACCACCAATGAACACCTACTCATTCAACGATCTTGTCTCGCTTTGGGAGAGCAAGATTGGCAAAACACTTGAAAGAATCTACGTTCCCGAAGAACAAATCCTCAAACAGATCATAGGTTTTGATCCAATACCTTTCTTCTTCTTCTTTCAATTTTGTTTAGCTATGTATGTCCATTGATGGGTTTAGTGTTTTTCTTCTTTTTTTTTGTTTTTGCTTTGCAGAGGCTTCGCCTCCGCTAAACGTGATGCTATCCCTTTGTCACGGCGTTTTCGTGAAAGGAGGACATACAAGCTTTGAAATCGAACCTTCTTTTGGAGTAGAAGCTTCTGAGCTTTACCCTGATGTCAAATACACTACTGTTGATGAAATCCTCAACCAGTATGTCTAATGCTTATTAGTGCTTTAACTACCATCACTACATGTCTCTAAACAGCAAAAACTGTGGGTCTTAATTCTTAAATCATTCGCTAGTAACCTGTCTGTTTCTCCGGTTAATCAAACCAAAGCGTGGTTTATTTTGAATGTACTGCTTTAAAACCGGTTTAATAATTAGAAATCTATCTTTAGTATGGCTGGACACACAAATGATATATCATCTTGTACACAATTAGTCTCGTTAATATTATAACAGCCAACAAACTTCGTAAGTTATGCGATTTTTAGTCCAACACGGTTCCAATAATCACGGATTTTAGAAGCGAGCGGTATAGGCCAAGGAGTTGTCCACTTCAGGGCCTAAGCAACAAATCATATAGTATTGCAATACATGTTGCATTCTACTCAGTTACAACATGGTAAACTAACACGACTAAATTTCCTCGGAGCTAAAACAAATTTAATTTCCATCCTGTTTCTTTTTTCCTGCCTCTAATTCTTCCTTATAGCTGAATAGTTTAAAAATTTGTCCAAAATGATTTTCTTTAACATTTGTATTTTCCTTTTTTGCAAAGACAAAAAAAAAAAGTGGCTAATGGTCAGCAAACTGGTCAGATCAATCCGCACGTGAGCCGCTGCTGCTGCTGCTGCTCCGTCCACCATATTTCTGCCACACCAAACCAACAATTAATACCAAGATATAGAGACTTTTGTGGAAGTAGCATATTATTGAAGCATCTTGTATCGACCGATATCAATGTGGGATACGTTGAAGTAGCAATAAAATTTTCGATTGCAAAATGTTACATGCATGAGTAAGACGAATGGAGGAATTAATTTGCATTTCAAAACCGCAATCAGTTCAAAGTTATTTACCTGTTTGCCTAAGCTGAAAGGAATGTACTTGTATTTGATCATGTGGGCGATCTGGCGTCTCATGGTGAGAACAAACAGAACGACCCAATAGCACAGCAGGATTGGCCAAAACACAGGGACGTCAAACACCGAAAAGAATGTCATCAGGAAAGCTATGCAGAAAGCCTTTGTCATGGAATACCTGCGACCACAATATAAGCAAGTAGCTAACTTCATGAGCCAAAACACAAGGTATCTTATGCTTTTTTCTTTTTTTAACTAAATCGTCCTATATTATACCATTACAGAGAATCTGATGTTGTAACTGAGTAGAATGCAACATGTATTGAGACGAAAAAGCATACTGGTCACATGTTAGTGATTCTAGATCTACCATAATCAATTGTGAGAGCCTCAAACATAGAAAACACTAAAGTGGACAAAGAATGTAATGTGCATGGAGACATGCATTCATCACCGATAATGTAGGCAATTGCATATCAGTTAAAGAATACTGGCTATGTGAGATATCCTGAAACATTTCACAGAATTTAAAATCATCATCAACCATGACCCCATCTACAGCAGCAACACCGCGAAAAAGACAATGAAGGATTTAAATCTCACAACAGATCAAGAAAGGAATCTGACGCGGCAATTGGCAGATTCAAATAAAAATCAACAAAAAATGTATTCCATTTTAAGACAAGTCGACATGGAATTACCAGAATTTGAACTCGGGGAGACGGCGAATAAAAGGCTTGAACTCATCAGAACCTCTGGTAGGCAGAGTAGGCCCATCAGAGACCCCGCCGGCCTCAGGATCAACAAGAGGGGATAAGAACCCGATAAGCAGATTCAGAAGGTAGATTCCAAGACCATAGGCAATGATGTAGAAGCCCTGAATATAGTAAACCCTGAGACAGTAGATAAGAGCGACAACAAGAGTTCCAATCCACCTGTAGGTTGCATGAGGTGTAGTCTTGTCAAGATAGTGTTGATAAATCCTCCAAGCCTCATGTGCACGCTGTTGGACAGGTGTGGCCACTGAACCACTATCACCTCCGCTTTCATCCATCTTATGTGATATCTAAAACCTAGAAGATAAACAAAACAGCTTGGTAATTACAGCTTCAATCGTTTCTTTCCTTAGCAACGAAACAAATCATAATGAAAGCACTTTGCTGTGAATGTTCGTTGTGAAGAATAGCTTTAGTATATCTGCACCTTAATTACAGTCTACACAATTGCTTCCCTAGAAACGAAGATCTGCATCAAATCTCCTCTAAACACAACCTCTCAGAGTAGAGAAAGAAAACTAGCCCTAGAAAACGTACTCTGCAGCTAAAACATCTAGAACAACAGTTTATCAGCTTAACCGATCTCGTCGGAGAATCAAAACCCACTGAAATGATTCCTTTAACTAGCAGAAGAAGACAAAAAATGCTAAAAATCAGATCTGGAAACTCAATCGCTGGATACGAATTCCAAAGAACAAAAGTTGCATAACAACAACAACAACAACAAATTAACCCTTGAGAATCGATCTAAACAGGGAAAGATTCGCAGATCATTGATTAGAAACTTCCTGAGAAATCAAAAGATCGAAGCACTTACGGAAGGTGAGAGTAATGATGGCTTTGGTGACCCAAAAAAGGAGCAGATCTGACCAAAGACGCAACACCAAATTAAGAAGAAGAGGAAGAATGATGAAGAAGAAAGATTCATCCGCGTTTTATTTTCGTTATAGTTCTTTTAATCTTTTAATTGTTTCCTTTTCTCTTTGCTTTCCATATTTACGAAACTATACACCGGTAAAAGCTATTCTATTTAATCTGACCCCATCCTTTTGTTAATTTCAATTTAACCCTTAAACAAATGTAACTAATAAATGTCGCCTTAACCCCGAATATTTTGTCAAAAGTTAATATAAACCCTTCATTAAGAAATTGCCATATGATTGATTTTTACTTATTAGATAGATAGCTTTACTGATTGACAAAAAAAAGAAGAAAAAATGGATAGCTTTATTTATTTCTGATATGTAAAGAGACTTATCAAAGAGGGATCACTCTTATTGTAAAGCTTAAACTTTCTTTCTTTTTGCTTCTAAAAGATTCTAATTTACATGACAAAATCACAACGGTCTTTCTTTCTCACGCTATACAGCGGTCTTAAGATTGTTTCCTTCATATGATAGTCCCGTCTTTAATGGTGGCCTTTTCGACGACCACAGTGATCCCAGATCGAATGTAGAATCCTTCCTCTGGCCTATCAGCTTCTTTAACATCCTGATATACACAACAATTAAAACCATTAAAATTAAGAATGTTGAATGAATATCTCTCAAAAGAGTCTTGATCTTCACTGATCTTAAAAGAAAGAAAAAAAAAACACAAAAAGAATCAAGAATGGGGCAAGAAGGCATACATCTTTGTTCAAGATCATCACGTTTTTACCAATCTTTGCGTTCTTGTCAATGATGCATTTCCTTTAATGTAATCAAAAATAACATCAGGGTTTAAGAGTCAAACTCGGATCATTTATGTTTTGAGACTTTTACGGTATTGTTACCTGATCTTTGTATCTTGGCCAATGCCAATTGGCACATTTCCTTCAGCTAGCAGAGACGCAATCTCAGATTCGGTTTGGTAACTATCCGCTCCTAACATTAGAGTATCCTGCAAAAAGATACAAAAACCATACTCAGTTTTTCAACCCAACAATGTCCTTAGAGTTCGGTCCTTTAAGGATTGAGGAGGATTCACACCTGAAGCTCAACACCATACTCAAGACGTGACCTTTCACCAATGATGGAACGTTGGACGCTGCACTCTCCCAAGAAACATCCGTGCGAGATTATCGAATTTACAATCTGCAAATACCATCAAGAGGATCATACCAATTAGTGAAATAAGACTCGAGATTTATAAGAGGATTTCCACGTAAAGGTACAGATATTTACGCGGCATTTCTCAGTTTTGGTGGGTGGTAAAAACCGAGGAGAAGTGTAGAAAGGCGTAGTTTGATCGTAAAACTCAAACTTGGGATGCTGCATAAAACAAGAACAATAGTTGGGAGATTGGATCAAAAGTTAGATACATTTCTTGAGTATTTATCACACTAACCTCCTCGACAAGAGCAAGATTAGCTTCATAGAAACTCTTTATAGTTCCGATATCTTCCCAGTAGTCTCTGTAGATGTATCCCTATAGAAGACAATATGACTCAGTCGTTTGGGATAAAACTCATGATATTCTTATAAAAGAAAGAGCAAATTTCTTTAACTTGAACATTGTGATCTCTTATAGCTGCAGGAATAATCTCAGATCCAAAGTCATTGGAACTTGGATACCGCCATGTCAGAAGCTTTAGTAAAGCTTCAGTTTTGAAACAATAAACTCCCATTGATGCAATGTATGGAGATTTTGCAGCTTCTTGATGAGAAAATCCAAGCATAGTAGTATCAGTTTGCTGCATTCACATTATAACCATTAAAAACAACAGAAAAAAAAAAACATTTATTTTTATTAATAATCTGTAATTTTTAAGTTTTAGCAAAGTAAAGTAAACTGTACCATTGATTTCAGATCGATGCCAGTTGGTTTCTCAGAGAAATGGACTACTCGCCCACTTCCATCAATATTCACTAGTCCATAATCCGATGCACGGCTGAAATTACAAAAACAGGATTTATAATCAAGTTAAAATGGTTAAAAAACTTGAAACCAAGATCATATAAAGCCACATCATAATGCTAAAGAAACTAACCTCTCATCTACTGGCGCGCATGAAAGAGTAATATCCGCTTTACTATCGACATGGTACTGTCCAATGCATAGTGTTTAGAATTATTTAGCGAAACTATCTTAAAATTATTAAGAGGAATGTGTTTATAACTAAATTACCTGAACAAAGTCCATATAATTCATTCTATATAGATGATCTCCAGACAGGATGATGATATTCTCAATGTTCCTATTCTTAGCATCCTATAATAACAAGCATCAGGAGATTCAGACCATTTTCAAGAATCATAAAGGAACCGCCTTAATGTCTGATATATTTAGTGATAATCATAAGTTATTCATACCTCAAACACCCATAGAAATTTTCTCACAGCATCTGCTGTTCCTTGAAACCACTTTTTCCCAGCTTCACCAGGAGTTTGTGTAGCAGCCAGAACCTGTTTCAATAAAATTTACCATTTGTCTTATTTCATCGAATCCAGAAAACTGAGAAGTTATTGAATTTATTGTTATATATACCTCTACGAAGCCATCTCCAAAGTTTATGCCATTCCCAAAATAAGTACGAGCCAAATGGCGATTGAGGGAAGCTGAGTTAAACTGAGTCAGCACAAAAATCTTGTTGATGCAACTGTTAATGCAATTACTCATCGGGATATCGATCATCCTATAGCATCCACCCACAGGAACCTACAAATATTGTTTATTAGTAGTGTTTCAAGAATCAGAAAACATAAGACTAACATCTTTCTCAAAACCGTTAATCACTCACAGCCGGCGTTGCTGCTCGCTTCGTGAGGGGGAAGAGTTTAGCTCCATCGCCTCCTCCTAGAATGATTGCAGCCACATTTTTTGGATCTGCTCTTCTTCTCTCGAACATAGAAGGCTGTACTTTCTGATAAACAATGAAACCAATCAAATATAGACAATCATAAAAACAAGTTCCCCAAGATAAGTTGTTTTGATAACTCTCATCAGTTAACTTACCAAAGCCTCTTTAGCATTCTTTGAAGTAGCAATGGCGTAAGCAACACCGGGATTCATTTTTCGATTTCTGAGCTTCTTGGAAGCCAAATCTGAAGAAAAAGGTTTCAAGACGCTTCCTTTGATCTTCTCACCCAAGAATTTGCTCTCTACATTCTTGAAACTGTCTTTGGCCATGACAGTGTTCGTCCCCAAACCAAAGTTGCAGCAAGAATCCATCTTTTTAAACTGGAATAAGGCAAAACAGAATCGTAAAGCACGTAAGAAAAACTAGAGATATATGCATATATGTAAATTGAACAACACACAAATGGGAATATAGAAAATTACAATTTGTGTGTGAATCCAATAAAGAAATTCTCAGAAAGTAGGAAGCTTTGACTACAAAGTCGATTCAAATAATCGAATCAAGACAAAACCTCTAACTCTTTTGAGTAGCAAGGGATACTGTATCTTCAAGGAAATCAATGGAATAAAGTTAGGCAGGTTACAAAATCTTTCAAAATCATAGAAAAGAGGAAGAGAGTTACCAAAAACAAGAAAAAGTAGAAGATTCTCATTTATAAACATGAAACGAACAAGTATTGGACCATAAATGAGTTTGAAACAGATTGGTAAAAGAAATCCTAATCCATTGTAAGAATTTTCAGATCATTGAATCACAGAGAGATAGAAGATTTCGAAAAGAAGGGAAGCTGAACAAAAGAAAGCAAAATCGTCCAAAGGTGAATACTTTAAAATGCTAAAAAGACAGAAGAACACACACAGACACAGAGAGGATCGAGTAGATGAGAGAACTCAACTCACCCACCGAAACGTAGAGTCCTTCTACTCTGGTTTGTGCTTAATGTCGTTTGAAATCGAAGGGAGAAGACACGAGAAGAAGTAAAATTGCTTATCAGTGTAGTGTGGAGCTAAATTTGCTTTTCTCTCTTCAAAAATCTCTTCTCCTATATTTATTCTATTAATTTTTTATCTTCTCTTTTCTGTTCAACCTAGGAGAAATTACAGTTTCCCCAATGATATAATTGTTGTGTTTTTTTTTCAAAGCAAGAAACAATAATAATTAGTATGTACTGTATATTCAATCAAACTTGTAATATGCGATTGATCTTACTCGTAAATAACGGTTACGAGTAAAAATAATTAAATATCTTCACGAGAGAGAGAGAGATCATGTGAAATTGTTAGCAACAAAGGCATAGGCGTCTGACAAAGACTGTCACTAAACCAAAATGGACGACTCTGGTTTCTCCCCCATACTCTATTAGTCTATTGTATCATTCAATCATAAAGGACACATCGATATCTTTTGTCTGCTTGCATGTGGACCCAGGCCCATTTTAAATCTTATTGGCCCAGCATAGAGGTGTGTGCTATATATAGTCCGTACACGTCGTAGTAACACATTTAGTCATTTACACATACTACCAAAACACTGCCTCGAAGCTGGAGAGACTAAAAAATATATATCTAGTTGTAAAAGCCAACACCAAAATATCGTAATTTACTTTTACCAAATCATATTATTTTGAATATGACATCAATTCTAATATCAACGGTTTACATTTAGAAAATAAAAAAGCATATAAATCTATATACCAACGGCTATGCTTCAGATATAGTGCAATAAATGTCCTAAGGGAAGTTTCATGTGAACGACGGCGATGTTTTGCAAATTGTAATTTGTAAGCATTACAGGAAAATTTTGATCAGATTAGCAATAGCCAAAATAGTTTGAAAAGATGTCTCCTTTTAGATTAACGGGGGAGAAGACGAGAGATACAAGGACGGGCCCATCTCACGCCATGGATGATGCTATTTGTCGGGAAATTATTTCAATAAATCTACTAAATTAAGACCAAGCGTATGTCCAATTCGCAAAACTATAAACACTACAATTCTTTGGTTACAAAACAAAATTAGTATTAGTAAAAGTATTTGAAACTTGTCACATGGGCGTTATTTCTTTTATGATATTCATTTGATTGACCTATCACATTTATAGCGTTTATATGTATTGAGTGATGATTCCTAATTGATATGGTAGTTTGGTTATAAGTTGTAAAATGCCTTCTTTACCATTTATAATTTATTGATTGCGGATTGTATAGCATTCTTCATTTCAAAGAAGATTTCATTTCGAAGAAATTTGTGGATTCTTCTACAACAGTAATCCAAATCAAATCCTAAGCAAGCACTTTTAGTTTAGGTGACTTATTTCAAACTAATTCCAATCTTTTTTTTTTGTTTTTTGTCATCAACTAATTCCAATCTCAATAACGCAGAACAACGGTTTATATCGTTTGTTTTGATGCATAACAAAAATCGGGTCCATAACCGAGTTGTGGAAAGAATGACTTAAAATGTTAAAAACGGATGGAGCACAGGTTCGGCTGGATTTTAGAAGTCTTACTGCGGTTTTAAATAGCCATATATCTCAAAAACAGAGTACGAAACAAAGATTCTAACGAGTTTCTGACGAATCAAAACAAGAGGTAAGAAAAAACAATGAAGCCCAAGGAAGATCAAGAAACAGGCATCTTAGGTGTTGGTGGCACGAGTGTAGATCTGCTGGCTCGAGTGAGCAGCGACCATCCTGATCACACCTTTGGCCATTAGCTCCCTAATCGCCCTCCTCGCTAGAGAACCATTTATCTGTGTTGTTCACAAGGTTAAACAGCATTATTCTTTGATAAGACAAACCCAAAAACGAGGAACATACAAAAAAAAAACATAAGTTTTGAGTTCCTAGACAAGCTCAAGATCGACAACTATAACTACATAAATATAAACTTTATAGCAGTCTTAGAGATGAGGAAGCGAAGAACCATCTAATGAACAGCCAACATAACACAGTTTAGCTTCCTATAACAGTGCTTGAAACAAAGATCTTATCTAGAGCCAAAGTATCATATATTCACTACTTGATTCTGTAGAAGCCCAAACAAACAGATTCCGGATACTTGCACATAACATTTAAATAACTGCCCAGGGATCGAACAATGAACTTCATATATGAAATGGCAAAATGAATTAACAACATGTAGATGAAAGTATATACCCTCATACGGTCAGAGAGGATGGAAGGGGTGATGAGCTTGAACTTGGGAGCTTCAGTGAGAAGCTTGTCATAAGTAGCTTGATCAAACAACACCATGTTGTTCACCTTCTCCTTTTGCTTTCCCTTGCTCCACTTCTGTTTTTTCGTTACCATCAAAAAAGATCAACCTTGTAAGCACAACGCGAACTAACAACAATAACATCCATATAATAACAAATCCTTTAAGCTCAACTTAAACATCACAAAATCCGGTTCCATTAAATCAGATCTTTTGAACATTTCCAGTAAAAACTAAATTATATTCGTAAGATAGATCAATCACTCGAGAAACGAACCTTCTTCTTCTGCTTTCCACCTCCGGATTTCGCCGGCTTCGATGATGGCGGCGGAACCTTATCCTTCTTGGGCGCCTGTAACCAGAAAACGGAAATAACGATTAAGACAAAAGAGAAGAGAAAACACGGAGACGGACAGAGAGGTTAGAAGATCAGAGAGAGAGACGTACCATGATGACCTCGACTTCGACTTCGACGACGACGGAGGAGCGAACGGCGAATAGTTTGATAAAAAGATGAGGCCGAGGGAGTGAACACTAGGGTTTGCTCTTATATTAGGGTTTCCCAAGTTTAAGGTTAATGTTTACTGGGCCACTATATTTTAAAACCTTATAACGTTACTCAAGCCCATTAAGAAAAACTCGAGAAGAACTTGTTTCTAAGCCCAATAACAAAAACTCGTGAATAAATTCATTTTTAAGCCCATGATGGAACAATATTGTAACTTAATACTGTAGCTGGTAAACTACGATGACAAACAAACAAAAATTACACTACATATAGTGCTACAATTTCTCAATAATTTATACATTTGATCATATGTGTTTAAGTTCATATCCTATCATCCTTGAAAAGTTAACTACTTGGAAATTCTAAACGTCAACAAAATCCCGCATAATCCGATGTATGTTGCTGGCCGAATCACCCAGTGATTTTCTTCCAATTTTTTTACGCACCAAGTTCTTAACTGTTCACATGCATAGAGTTTATCTTCTTAATTAGTTATCATATATTATATATATATATATATCGTACGTCTATTTGCTTAATCAACTGAGAAACCAATATATATACTATGCATATGTTTTGTGGTCCAACTTCTTGGGGTTAGTCTTATTAATTGGTCAGTTTAATTAAGTTAGCATGCAGCATCTATATTACTCACAGAACACCATATAACTGGCAGTTATCTACCCAATAATGTTTAGTCAACTAGCTGGATTTTTGACTTAACTAATATAGGAGTGATCTTCTTATACCATCATTATCAACAGGATCTTAGACTTAAGATTTACATAGGAAAACCTATGTAAATCTTAGGTCTAAGTTCCCCTTGATAATGTTGCCCTTAGGATCGAACGATCCCTTCACTATTTCGACTAATTGTTTTTTTTTTAAAAAATTCCTGAATCATATAATTCGCCCTATTCGAAGGCATATATTTGTTTAGTCTCAAAAATCACATCGGCATCAAATCACGTTGAAGATATAACTCCACGAATCTACAATTCAAAAGAGTTAACTATATATATGCATAGTATGGAACTATGGATTAATACGACGGCAAAGTGATGATATATATATATAGTATAGATTAATATGAGGACAAAGAGATGATCTGTTTTCACTTATATATACTATGCATAAACAACAATAAAACCAATCATCCAGCCAAACTCAAAGTGCAAAACGTAAATTGGTAATTTTTAGATATGTTTTTTTGTTTCTTTAAAATGATTCAGTACTTCGTCTTCCGCATGAGGTATCTGATATATGTTAATTTTTCTTGTCTTCTTTGTAAAATCTTACACAGTTCTTCCTTTCCTTTTATAAAAATAAAATGGCTGCTTTTTGCCTCTACAAAACACACACACAAATAATAAAAACTGTAATTTAATGATTTGTGTTATATAATTAGTGTCGTTATTGTGTATTACTCGGCCTTAAGCCATATATTGTATGTTATTAACGTGAAAGATATTCTGTATATGTTAATGTTACTGCATATAAAAATATCATGTTATGGATCATTAGATAGTTCAATAACACTCATGTGGTCATGTAGCATAAACCGAACACAAAATGCCCAACCTATAACGATACAGCTGTTACACATCGCAGTGTGTATTATTCGCAAGGAAACGTAAAAGAAAAACACAAAACAACGATACGAAACCAAGGGGAGAGGGAAGGGAAGGGATACAACGCATACGGGTTATATATGTATCTTGTCTAGCAATCGAAATAACAGAAACAAGCAGAACCATTGCCATCAAAGTGGCAAGCTCCATATTTAGCGGATTCTCTTTCAATGCATTGGGTATTACAGTTGCTTGTGGACATGCAAATTCCCGTCCACGAACCGCTATACCTTTGACATACCCCTGCTGCTTCCACCCCCTTCAAATCTGCGTTAAATTTAAGCATCCACAAGTTAGTCAACTTTATAATTACCAAATCTTTATAACTAATTAATTTTACAGTAGACTATTGTATATGGAAAAATCACTGACTAGTTGAAGAAAGGAGGAGGAAATAGAGGCAGAGGAGAGCAACGAGAGTGCATGACTTAGCCATTTTATTCCTACTCGCTTTATGTTTAATTAGTGTGGTCAAGTGGTTTGATATAAAGGTTAACAGGACTAGGGTTTATATAGAGTCACGGAGATGTGAACGAGAAGAGATGTATAGATTAGTAGCGAATACGTTAGCTAATTGTTTATTTAAATCATGAGAGTAAGAGTGTAATTAGCTGGAAATATGAGGGTTTTTTTGAAAAATAAAATACTGAACATAAATAATTATCCCAACTACACGATAGTACAACATATAAAGTTATCAAATGTATTCAGCAACAATAACGTATTTTTTATGAACATTTTTTGTTTTAGTTATTAGGAATCAAGGATATAACTGATTTATCTGATTTATCTTCTTTATTTATCTGATTTCTGTCGTTTTTATGTTTGCCTGTTTGGTGATATAACTGTCTGCCGTTTTTTATTTATCTGATCCACCATCCTTTCTTCGCATATAACAAAAAACGGCAGCATGTTTCTTAATGATCTACGCGGCAGCACGCGCTCTTCTTTTTCGTCTCTTTCAGTCTCAGTATGATGAGAAACTATGGGAGTTGGCGTAAATTGCAAGGAACTATACGTCTCTACTCTTCTTCGTATTCTTCTGCCTCTGGTCTCTTGGAATTTGTTAACGTAGACTTTCCTTCTACGATAGGAATCCGGGGGAGGCGCGATTTTGCTCGTCGTTTGCAGCTGCATGCGTCCGATGATCCTTTGCTCTATCAGAATGTAGTTCACGGTCAAGTTATTGTCTCGGGCCTTGAGTCAGATACGTATCTTGGCAATATTCTGATGAATTTGTATTCGAAATCTGGTGGTATGGTTTATGCACGTAAGGTGTTTGAGAGAATGTCTGACAGAAACTTGGTTACTTGGTCTACCATGGTTTCAGCTTGCAACCATCATGGTATTTATGAGGAGTCCTTGGTGGTTTTCTTAGAGTTTTGGAGAACTAGGGAAAACAGTCCCAACGAATATATTTTGTCGAGTTTTATCCAAGCTTGCTCAGGATTAGATGGTAGTGGTCGTTTGATGGTTTTTCAATTGCAAAGTTTTCTTGTCAAGAGTGGGTTTGATAAGGATGTTTATGTTGGCACCTTGTTGATTGATTTTTATCTGAAGGTAGGTAATATCCATTACGCAAAGCTTATATTTGATGCTTTGCCAGAGAAATCTACAGTGACTTGGACGACAATGATCAGTGGGTGTGTAAAAATGGGAAGAAGCTACGTTTCGTTGCAGCTGTTCTACCAACTAATGGAAGGCAATGTTGTTCCAGATGGTTACATCCTTTCGACGGTTCTAAGTGCATGTTCAATACTTCCGTTTCTTGAAGGCGGGAAGCAGATTCATGCACACATCTTAAGATTTGGACATGAGATGGATGTCTCACTGATGAATGTGCTTATAGATTCTTATGTGAAGTGTGGCAGAGTTACAGCTGCTCGTAAGCTTTTCGATGGAATGCCGAATAAAAATGTCATTTCATGGACCACATTGCTGTCTGGTTATAAGCAAAACTCTCTTCATAAAGAATCCATGGAATTGTTTACCATTATGTCAAAGTTTGGTTTAAAGCCGGATATGTATGCTTGCTCTAGCATACTTACATCGTGTGCCTCACTTCAAGCTTTGGAATATGGGAGACATGTTCATGCTTACACTATCAAAGCAAATCTTGGCAACGATAGTTATGTGACTAACAGCTTGATTGACATGTATGCGAAATGTGATTGTTTGACCGACTCCAGGAAAGTTTTTGATATTTTCGCTTCCGATGATGTGGTTTTATTTAATGCAATGATTGAAGGTTACTCGAGACTTGGGACACAATGGGAACTACATGAAGCATTGAATATCTTTCGTAATATGAGGTTCAGACTGATTCGACCTAGCCTATTGACTTTTGTTAGCCTTCTACGTGCATCTGCTTCTTTAACAAGCTTGGGACTGAGTAAACAAATCCATGTATTGATGTTCAAATATGGGGTAAACTTAGATATATTTGCTGGAAGCGCTTTGATTGATGTTTACTCAAATTGCTATTGTCTCAAGGATTCTAGGCTTGTGTTTGATGAAATGAAAGAGAAGGATCTTGTTATCTGGAATTCAATGTTTTCAGGTTATATTCAACAATCAGAGAACGAAGAAGCGCTCAATCTGTTTTTGGAATTACAGTTATCAAGAGAAATGCCCGATGAATTTACTTTTGCCGACATGGTTACTGCAGCTGGCAACCTAGCAAGTCTTCAGTTGGGTCAAGAGTTCCATTGCCAGCTTCTGAAAAGAGGCTTGGAATGTAATCCGTATATTACAAATGCTCTAGTAGATATGTATGCCAAATGTGGTAGTCCTGAAGATGCTTATAAGGCTTTTGATTCAGCAGCTTCAAGAGATGTGGTTTGTTGGAATTCTGTTATCTCGTCTTATGCGAATCATGGAGAAGGCAGCAAAGCTCTTCAGATGCTTGAAAGAATGATGAGTGCGGGAATAGAGCCTAACTATATCACCTTTGTGGGAGTTTTATCAGCGTGTAGCCATGCTGGTCTTGTAGAAGATGGTCTTAAGCAATTTGAGTTAATGCTTCGATTTGGAATTGAACCAGAAACTGAACACTATGTTTGTATGGTATCTCTTTTAGGCCGTGCTGGAAGATTGAACGAAGCAAGGGAGTTAATTGAGAAAATGCCAACAAAACCAGCTGCTATAGTATGGAGGAGTTTACTGAGTGGATGCTCAAAGGCTGGCAACGTCGAGTTAGCTGAACAGGCTGCTGAAATGGCTATTTTGTCTGATCCAAAGGATAGTGGATCGTTCACTTTGCTTTCTAATATTTACGCGTCGGAGGGTATGTGGAGTGAAGCGAAGAAGGTAAGAGAAAGAATGAAGTTTGAAGGTGTGGTGAAAGAACCCGGACGTAGTTGGATTTTGATTGATAACGAGGTTCACATATTTTTGTCCAAGGATAAAACTCACGGCAAGGCTTATCAGATATATGAAGTATTAGACGATTTGCTTGTACAGATCAAAGGGTTTAGTTAGCTAACTACTATACAAGAATTCATTGTCTATTGAGTGGTTGAAGTCTGTCTGGTTAAAGAACAATGCAGCTAGAGTTGTCCAGAATCCAGATCGGTGATCATAAAGAGGTATCAAGCCATATCGGATCGCTGAAGAAAGAGTTAAATCTTTTTGTGAATGGAGTTGCAGGATGTAAACCTCTTACAGTAACAACTTACAAGCAAAATTAGTAAGACCACACTGTGAACCAGAGATGGAGAAGCTTAGAAAGCAAATGATATGAGTCCTAGATGAACCAAAGAAGAAGCTGAAAGAGAGCAGAGAGCAAAGACGCAACTTTACCCTGTTTCGGTTCTCCGTTTCTTGGTTCCATTGAATTCTTGTAGTGTGCATTTTGCAGAATAATATGGAAGTAGCTACTGTTAAGAGGTTTCAGTACTCATTGTGGCTTCCTGAAAAGAGTCGGAGGTTGGAAGGAAATACTAAACAGAGAAGAGACGGAAGGTGTGAAGCAGACAGATCAAGGAGTATGTATATTATTATGATTACACACTGATGGTTTGTCCAGACATATTACTTGCTCTTGACATTGGAGAGAGACAAAATAACTCTTTATTCTAAAATGATGATATTTAGGTCCTATGAATCATGTTTAGAATTATTCCTCGTACTGTTTAGCTTATCTTTGGGATGTACTGTTTACCATATATATTTGCGATGCATGTTACTCATAATCAAAATGTGTCATGATGTATAAATGGACAATTAATAATCAGATTTAAACGTAAATAAATAAGTATAATCTGTCTTTATAATTCATGTTTTGTGAACACACATACTGTATATTTAAAATATTAAGTATCGTACGTATTTTGTTATAAAAGATTACTTTTAAGTGTAAGACCTGCTGCATCCCTTATAAAATACTATTAATTAAACGGAGAAAGACAGACATATCACAAGTCTGATGTCGTAGCAATAATTCAGCTTCAGAACTACTTTCCTCGAAATATTACGTCCCGTGTACTCATTCTCGATCTTCTCGACATCAAAGATGGAAACCCTGATCTCAAACGTACACACTCTAAACCAATTGAATTCGAGTTGTGATATATGCGGGTGAGCTAGTCGCACCGTTGATTATTGGAGTTTTCTCTAATGAATATAAAAGTCAAACAATTATTGGATGATCATTAATTTTAAAACAGTCATGACGCCAAGAGACGCCTATGGATCATAATACAACAACACATCGTCCATAACATATTTATATATTATTTCGACGAAACAACAAAACGTAAGACCAAAGACAATGCAAAACAGCAAGAGAGAATCACAAACTGGGGATTAATTCTTGCAGTTGAAATAACAGAAACAAGCGCGGCCACGTTTGTCCTGATGGCATGCTCCATGGCGAGCGTCTTCCCAGTTGATACATTGGCGGTCGCAGTGGCTCGTCTGCGTGCACCTCCCCGACCACGTTTGGCTGTACCTTTGACATATCTTCGCCTCCGCTACTTTCAATCCTACGTACGTCCAAATTAATCACTAATTTATCTAATCAACAATATCATTTCATCGTTATGTTATCTTGACTAAAACAGTATATATATCAACATATGTGAGATGCTGTAATGTAAAGTTAAAAAATATATATATATACTAACCAGTTGGAGAATGGAGAAGCAAGCAGATGCATAGGAGAGCGACGAGAGTGAATGACTTTGTCATTTTTTTTCCTCTTTTTTTTTTTTGGTGTTGTGTGATTTAAGGCTACACACTAGGGCTTTTTATAGAGCTAGAGATAAAGAGTGAGTTTGCTACTAATTAAATTAATTAAGAGACAATTACGGAGATTCATATGGGTGTAAGATTAATTAATTAAGTAGTTTAGGGCCTTTAGGTTAACGAACGGTAAATAAAATATCCTAAAGCGAATGACATTAAAAGAAAGAAGTATATACTATACGTGTTACTTGACGGACACCTACTAATTTCCAAGTAAAAAATGGTGTTAGTTTTAATTACTATTTTCAAAGTTTTAGATCAAAATTCTTCAAAAGATATGAGAAATCGGATATATAGCTCTTTTACAAAAAAGATAGGCGTATAGCAGCAGACTCTTTTAGAAATAACGATTTCATTACTTACAAACTCAAGAGTTCAATATTTTTTATGAGTTACCGCAGAGATTCATCATATACAACAAAACAATTAACTAAAACGAAGAAGGTAACTCTATTTTCAACAACAATAGAAAAAAAAAAAACCCCATTTTCCATAACTGTAATCTTAGTTACAAATTAAATTAGTCAGATATATTTTGGTAGACGTACACAAAGAGTCAGGATAATGTTATAAAATAAAAATAAAAAACAATTTGTGAACATAAACAGAATCCCGCAGGATACGTTCTGTGTTGATCTCCAAATCACCAACGATTCCATTGATTGATTCGTCGCATGTGTAGTTATCTTATCTTAATGCTACAGTAAATATATAAAAATATTACTTGTAACTATTATTACATGAGCTATCGGATAACTTCATTATACATGAAATAACTGAGAGAACATGGCAAAACAGAGCAAACATAAGAGACAACTCTGTAGCTAAAATCTTCTCACCTCCTTGATTCCTAGGATTTAATTTTCAATTTGGTTCAAACGATCTCAAATTTGTTTTCATGTTTTATAAAATGAGGATCTCTTCCTGTTTTCTATGTTTTCAAAAGATTTGTAACAAAAGCCCATTAGGGCCCATAATTGATTTTAAAATAGATATAATTAAACAGTAAAAGAGTTATCAATCCGACCTTAGCTCAGTTGGTAGAGCGGAAGACTGTAGTTGTTGCTGTAATCTTTAGGTCGCTGGTTCGATTCCGGCAGGTCGGAATTTTTTCAATATTTAATCTCTTTTTTTTTTTTTTCTTGCTTTTAACAACCCTTAATTAATCTCTATATACAAGCCGCATGTGGCGAACTGGCACTGCTGTTATGTATTTTTAAGTTACATTTTAGGAAAAAGGAAGTGAAAAGTTGATAGAGAATTTGATGATGTTTTGCTTGTTTTGCTTTTTATCCTAATTTTTGCCAAGGAACCAACTACTAGGTAACTTATGTAATACCTGTTTTGTTTCATTAATATGAAAATTTACTTGCTTAGCAAAAAAGAAAAGTTGATAGAGAGTAGCCGTATACATTGTAATATTTTGTGCGCAAATAAAAATGGTTGTGGCTATAAATTATTTCCATAAAGGAAAAAAAAAACACAAAAGTTGTACGAATCATGAGGTTAGATTTTGTTCAAGAATCTAAATTAAAAGTAGTATAATACTTTTTCTTGTTTGACAAACAATAAATAAAAATTACATGGTTTTCTCTATTCTCTTAACTCATGACTTTTATTTTTTTTGTAAATACGTAAGGGAAAATGTAACGTTTAAAGAATATCAAAAGAATAGTAACTGATTATTTTTTGCATGTTTTATTGCATTGCATGAGATAGAGAAACCATTTTCGATGAATTTTGAGAGAAAACGAATGTAAGCATATATATTATACAGTACATTGCATTGAATAGCTCCAATATTAAAAATAAGTGATCAAATTTTGTTTATGTTTCTGATGTAATAAGGCAAGTTACAGTATTATGAACAAAACACGAAGACACGTTTCACTTGTGGATGTTATGAAAATAATTTAAAGGGTACACCAATACCGAATCTTCATTTTCAACTTTTTAAAGAAAGGAAGTGAGGCTTTTGTCAAAGTGTATCCAATCAATAATGAAAATTTTTAAAATTTTTTAAATCATTAATGAGACCACCTCTCTACTCTATAAATATATGCATATGCTTTTTGGTTAGAAAGAGACAAGACACTTAAGAATTACAAAAGAGTTGTTGACCTACACAAGCCCATTTCTCCATCTCTTAGTGAGCAAGTAATTGAATTTTTATTATCTTTATATATTTTATTTTCTCATTTTCCTTCCATGAAACACAATAAAGTGTACTTCTCTATATACATATTTTTTTTTTTGGTGGAAACTTCTCTATATATACATATTAGTTTGGTAAATAATATATCTAGTGATATAATTTTAATGTATTTTATCTTGAATGAAGTTAATCTAGAGTCGAGACACAAATTAATTTAAGGTAACTAACATATTAACCCCCCATAGGCCATAACACATATACGTATCTATAACCCTAATAAACATAAATGATAAATTATAATATATGGTTAAAAAAAACTGAAATAAAATACTTTTATATTACATCATATTTTTGTTTCGGCACATTGGGCATGCTTTGTACTGAGCATTCAAGTCCTAAAAACTTTTATAATAAAGTTTGTTTGTAGTACAAATCACTAAATATGTGCTATACAAATGATTTTCGCATATTAACCTAAATTTATTATATAAAATATATAAAGAAAAAAACTTAAAAGGAGATATGAAATGGACATGTCAATATCAAGGCAGCTGCTTTACTAGTCGAGTAAATAATTACAAATAGACAAAATCAGGAACATTAGTGCGATGATGCTTTTTTCATCTTCTTTAAAACGGCTAACATAAATAACTACATATTTGTTGACCAAAAAAAAAAAAAAACTACATATTTAATTGTTGTATGAAACGATTCAACAGATTATGAAAAACTGTATTTGGATATAAATACTACTAAAAAGAAAATACTTGTTTGGTAAAAGAAGAATATATAGTTCAGCCTTTTACTTGATTTTTTTTTTTTTGTGTTTAGAAGCTTTTACTTGAATTATGAGTTCTCTTATAAGCAGCATTCGAATACTATAATGTTTTGTATGTAATGAGGGATTCGCAACTAACAATTTCTTGATCTTCTTCTAGAGTTTTTCTTTTTCTTAGTGTCCACTTAATCAATTATGTATATTTAAAATTATTTCCAGTGACAACTTTTAATTTTTGAAACCACTAGAGCCACTTTAATCATATAACAAATAAAATAAACAGGGTAATTATAACATTTTGATATCAAGAGTTACAAGTCAGTGGGCTCTTTAACTAACAAAATCTCTATGAGCTGCATGCATATACTTTCTAATTTTCTATGATCAATAGTATCTTATATCAAATTTAATACTATCTTGTCTTTTTATGCTAACATGCAGCTACAACTTGTCCGGTTCGTACAATACCACATTTTCTTTTAATCAACGAATGGTTTAATAGTATATATTTTTTTGAAATAACATTATAGTATTGTATTCTTTTTTAAAAAAATACCAATAAAATGAAAAAGCGCCAAATTTTGTAAAGATGTTAGTTTTCATAAAATACTAGTCTTCAAAATTAGTATACAGAAATTTTCAATATTATCGCCTAAATAAGATTTGCTTAGTTTTAATGTTGTTTTTTTCTTTTTCCTTTTTTTCTTCATATGAAGTTGTCTAAGAAGTTAATGTCAACAGAATTTTTACCACGTTTGATATAATCAAGAATGTAGTTTTTTTTTAATAGTCAAAAACGCGTTACTTTATATATTTGCACATTACGTTTACTGTTGTTGATTAGAGTTTTTTATACTTTTTAATTGCACCATAAAACGAAAGTAACGATACCAAAGCGCACTCAACGGGCTCTGTGGTATAAATACCTACTTACATCAAAGCTAAATTCTCTCAAGAAACAAAGCAAAAGAGAGAACAAAGTGAAAAACATATTCTCCTCTCTCTTTAGATTCTCAGTTTCTTTTCATGAATCTAGACTAAGAACCCAATTGGTCTCTTACCCTAATAGAGAGATCTGAAGAAGGAACAGCTCTGTTTCTTATTTCTTTAAGGGTTTTTTTTTGTTTTCCTTCTTCTTCGGTTGTCACAACCAACACAACACCAATGGATTCCTTTAGTGCTCAGAAAACTAAATCGAGAAAGATGAAGAAGGTTGCGAAGAAATCTCGTGTTCAGATAATCTTGGATATGTTTTTCCGGGCGATGGAGATTATTGTGGTTTTGGTCACAGTAGCTAAGCTTTGTTATGAACTCGTTATCACGTTCGAGGATTCTGGTGTCGCAGAGGTTATCCTTGCAAACCGCAGTCTCGCGTTTGTTGTAGGAAACGCGATAGTCTTCGCTCTGATCGCTAAATCCGGTTTCTTCTTGAACCAAGAACTTGATCCCAAGTGCAAAAGAAGCGATCTTTACGAGGAGTTTGTTCGGGAGAGCTCAAGGAGAGATGGAGGGATCTCACGAGCCGTGGTCAGAGGACAACAGAGTGAAGCAGAGAACGAGGCTAAACAGAGCATCACCGAGAACATAGTAAAAGAGAACGAAGAGAAACAGAGCAAATATGAGAAGAAGACGAGACAGATCATTTCTGAGAAGAGAGTGAGACAGAGCAAACCTGAGAAGTTGACAAAACATATAATCTCAGTGAACAGAGAGAAACAGAGCGAAGTTGAGCATCAGGACATAGCTGTGAAGACGGAGAAAGAGAATTTGACTGAGAAGAGACAAATTCAAAGTTACAAACGAAGCCAGTCAGAGAATCTGAAGGTTTTGGAAAAGAGTTCTTGTGGAAAATTGAAGAGATCGGAGACGGATGCATCTTCTGAAAGATTTGACTCCGACGATGAACTCCGATACAAGATCGAGTCTTTCATTGCAAGGCAGAGAAGGAATCAAAATGATGATTAGGTTTGTATTATTTAGATTAAAAAAAAAATACAAAAAAATAAGCAAAGAAAAAGACACTAGTTTATGCAAAATAGCATTCACGTGTAGAATATATTTAAGTGTTTGCTATAGCATAAATATTTGTTTACCTTTTTTTTCTCTGTTTTTATTTCTTTGTATAATTTTTGGTAGTTCTGTTATATATGAAATATATGTTTTTTATACCACTTATCGTGTTGTTGTGATCTCCAAATATTAATTTTGGAAGAAGACTCGTTGTTTGTTAATACAAATGATTTCATGATAATTTATATTCACCAGATTATAGTATCTGAAATTTCGTAAACCTTACAAAAGACTTATTTTGGAAGTATATTGATGGAAAAGAAAAGGATCCACGATAATATGTTTCTACAAAAAAAAACTTCAGAAAATTACTTATTATTTTTCATACATAGAAGGAAATTTGTATAATTTTTTAGATTATATATATAAAAATATTATATTAGTAGTATTTATTATTGAAATAGATAAGTCTAACAATAAATTAGCTTTATTTACTCAATCTGCATATTAATAAGGCCAGATTTAAGAAAAAGGATATTGTCCTCAATTATTAATTACAAATATGGGGGGGGGGGGGGGGGTTTTCCAATATAAGATGATAACTTAAAAGTAGTCTGTTGACAAGAATGAAAACGCTAAATTTTAAGCAAGAATTCAACGAAAGGTAAAAACCTCGTCAATGCTCTCTCCAGATTGGTTCTCTCAGATTTTTGGCGTTGTTAATTTGGAGCCCTTCTCAATTTGGGGTCTGTGAGAGAAGAGTTACATACATTATTTCTCTCTTCTCCTCCCCTTGGTGTTTTTGTTTTTTTTTTTTAATCTACAGGTAAAAAAAACACACCTTCGAAGAACTTAAAATCTCTTCTTATCTCTCTGACCTAAACCCTTTGAATCTCAAGCTTATTGAATTGCATCTTTGGGTCCTAGTTTCTTATCACACAAAACGTGGGTTTATGTTAATTTCCTCATACTCTCGTCGTAATGTTCGGGGCATGAATGTAACGTGTTTGTTTTTTTTTTGGGATTCTCTGTTTTTATATTTCAATGATTTTGATTGATTGTTAGACAAGGAACAACAACAGAGTTTTTTATTCTTTTGATTTGTGATTCAGTAGGAACTTAAATCATGGCGGATACAATGGTTGCTCATGTGGATCGGCATAATAAAATAGGTCAGAGTAGCTCAGAATATATCTTTTTTTTTTTTCAATCTGAAATCCAAACTTTTTTTAAAAAAAGGAAGAATATTGCAGATGTTGAGAACTCACTCTCAGAAGATGACAAGAGATTAACAAAGCTCTGCTCCCTCAAGAAGAAGGCAATAAATGCGACGAACAAGTTTAAGCACTCTATGACCAAGAAAGATCGAAGGCATAGCCGTGTGACGTGCGTCTCAATCGTTGATGAAATCGATACAGAAGAGTTGCAAGCGGTTGATGCTTTCCGTCAAGCTCTTATCTTAGACGAACTACTTCCCTCTAAGCACGATGATCATCATATGATGCTTAGGTTTGGTCCCTCTCGTTTGATTTCTTCTACTCTTTTGATCTAATTAATAATCCAAATATCTCAGGTTCTTGAGGGCGAGAAAGTTTGATATCGAAAAGGCTAAGCAAATGTGGGCTGATATGCTTAACTGGAGGAAAGAATATGGCGCAGACACGATCATGGAGGTGACATTATAGGCTCTCTTTTTCTTTGACTCTCCGTTGTGTCTCTTTCTCCCTAAAGTTTCTCTCTTTCTTCTTCAAGGACTTTGACTTCAAGGAAATCGACCAAGTGGTTCAGTATTATCCACAAGGATATCATGGTGTTGACAAGGAAGGAAGACCTATCTACATTGAGAGGCTAGGCCAAGTCGATGCCACAAAGCTGATGAAAGTGACCACTATCGATAGGTACGTCAAGTACCATGTTAAAGAGTTCGAGAAAACTTTCAACGTCAAATTCCCGGCTTGTTCCATCGCTGCGAAAAGACACATTGATCAGAGCACAACAATCTTGGACGTTCAAGGCGTGGTATGTCATCATATAATATATATGAATCTTTTTTCTTACGCTTAATTCGATTCTATGTAAGGTGGACTAATCGATCTCTGTGTGTTTTGAAATTTGCAGGGGCTTAATAACTTCAACAAAGCTGCAAAAGATCTTCTTCAGAGTATTCAGAAAATCGACAACGATAACTACCCTGAGGTTCAGTTCTGTTTTTTTCTTCTTCTTTGGGTTGATCTTGATGACACGGAACCATGATCTCTATGTTTGTGTTTCATTGTAGACGCTGAACCGTATGTTCATCATCAATGCTGGTTATGGCTTTAGGCTTGTATGGAGCACTGTGAAATCTTTCCTTGACCCAAAGACTACAGCAAAGATTCACGTAAAACTTTCATTTTCACTTAAAACATCCACACTGTACTTTATTTGTCTTCATCTGCATCTTGAGTGCTCTTTTTGTTCATTGATGACAGGTTCTTGGCAACAAATACCAAAGCAAACTGCTGGAAATCATTGACGCCAAGTAAGAACTTCATTACTCTCTAACTGTGACTCTGAAACTGTTGCTTTATCTTCAAATATGTTGTCCAAAATGTTCTCTTCTTATTGTTTGTATAGTGAACTGCCTGAGTTCTTGGGTGGTAAGTGCACCTGCACAGATAAAGGCGGATGTATGCGTTCAGACAAAGGTCCATGGAACGACCCTGAGATCTTCAAGGTAGTTACTAGAGAACCAACCTTATGCAGATCCTTTATAAAAAACAGATGAATGAATCGTTTAGATATTATGATACAACTTCTGATTCATATGTAAACTACATCTATAAAACAGTTGGTTCAGAACGGTGAAGGTAGATGCCTGCGGAGGAACTTGTCAGGGATCGAGGAAAAGACAATCTCAGAGTATAAGAAGGAATCAAAGGTAAGAAGCTATGATCTTGAGATGTTTTTTGAAATTTTGGTTTGATTTGTTTCTCAGCAAAATCTGAACTCTTTTTAAAATTTAGAAGACATGTGAACCTTGCGAAGCAGAAGAGACTAACAAGGAGTCTACTGGGGAGAAGGAGAAGAAGTTCATCGACAAGACTGTGGATGCTGCTGATTGGCCTACAAAGTTTCACAAGGCTAACAACAAATCCCCCGAGCCTAAAGGTTAGTATACTCGCTAAAGAAACCTCAGCCTGTGTATAATCTTCTTACTCCATGAAACTCTAAACTCAGATGTGTACTCGGCTGCGAATCCGTTGGAGAGGAAAGGGTACTTATATGGCAGCGTGATGGCATTGCTAATGGGGTTAGTGGGAGTGATGAGGCTAACCAAGAACATGCCAAGGAAGCTCACCGAGGCGAATGTGTATAGCCGTGAAGGCTGCTCCGTGTATCAGGACGGGGTGACGGTTATGTCCAGGCAAGAGTATATGGCGATGGTGAAGAAGATGACGGATCTGGAGGAGAAATGCAAGTCCATGGAAGCTCAGGCTGCGTTTTCTCTGGAGAGAAATAAGATTCTAGACGCTGCACTTCGTCGTGTTGACCAGCTCGAGCTTCACTTGTCTGAAACCAAGAAGGTAAAGCTCTCCTCTCTCACTAGTCTCTTGTTCTGTTTGCTCTGTTTTTGTGATTCCTCTGTTTTACAAAAAAAAATTAGGCACTGGACGAGACAATGACGAGGCAACATGAGATGATGGCTTACATCGAGAAGAAAAAGAAGAAGAAGAGGAAGGTTAGAAATGCACACATATAAGATTTGATTGAATTCTTTTCTTGCTTGCAATAATATTCGAAAGTACTGATCTATTGTTTTTTACATTTTCAGTTCTTGTTATTCTGAAAGACTCCATCAGAGTCTCAACAGTAACTTCAGCCTTGAGCCTAGAAAATAAAATGTATTTCCATTCACTGTAATCCTTTGATCCTTAGAAATTCAAATGTATTTTCTCCTGTAAGATACAGGAGAAAATATTAAGACGAAGTCTTGTTTTGTCTGTATTTAAGGACTCTATTTCTCTTTTTTTTTTTTTGTATGTGTAATTGTTTTTGTTAATATAAACCTTAAAAGACCCATTCGTCGTCATCATCATCATCATAAACGAGAAAGAACTAATTAGCTTGTTCTGTTTAATTAACATAAAATGACATGAGAGTTGTTCTGTTTTAATGGTTTTACTTGCTCCTCTTCTTAATAAGTAGAAACCTAAGAAGGGAGAGAGAGAGAGAGAGTGCAGAGATGCTTCTTCTTCTAGAAACAGAACATTTGCTTCCTCTTCTTCTTCTTCTGGAAACAAAAACAATATTCGATGAGTCATTCGATAACTGAATTTGAATAAGACAATATCGGGTTCCGGACTTTAAAGGATTAAAAGAAATAGCGACCTGGTGCTGAGCTATCTCTTGACGGTCAATATACGCGAGTAATTCTTCTTGTCTCATTAGAGCTTCATAAAGAGCCTGCTCCAAATAAGAAACAGTTTTTTAGAGAGCATGAAATGTTTCAGGTTCTAGTTTTGGTGGGTTTGTAGTTGATGACCGTAGTATCCAGTTACCTTCTTAGTGGCTATGAGCTCAGCTTCAAGGGCATCTACACGGCAAACAGCTGCGTTAAGCAGTTCCTCTTTCTCATAAGGCATCTCAGATGGCTTTGATTGGAGCACTCCAATTTTCTCCTCAAGTTCGGTTAGTTTCTTCAGCACTGAATTGAGCAGATCAGCTTCCTCTGTAGCAGTGTTTCCTTCAACTTGCGATGCACTTGTTGGTGGTAGAAGCTGCTTGGTCATAACACGGTATGATACTGAGCGAAAGAATGTGAGAATCGCCATCACAAACGCCATAAAAATAACTAAAACACGAGCACTGAAGCTTTCGTGATCCTTTGGGACATTTGGAGAAATACGAGCTCCTGCGAGAAGAGATAAAGACCAAAGTTTTAATCTCCTAATTTTCCCAGTGAATGATGACAAAAGAGAATCTTTCTTTCCCTTAAGCATAAAAAAGGTTACCTTTTAACGGAACCCTGCTGATGGCGGCGGGTTTCACCTTCCAGGTGGCGTCAACAGCTTTGTCAACCATTGGAACATACTCATCATAACCTGCAAAACTTCCTGCAAAACTCGTTTCACCAGAGCCTACTTTTGCCTGCAGAATAATCACTAAGATTCAGAGCCACATATCAAGTAATCTATGAAAAAATTACAAGCTGAGAAAGTGAATTTATATAATACCACTTTTATATAATACCTCTTCACGAACAGGGGTCAAGCGGAGATGGGAATAACTCTTTACTGCTTTTGGGGACACCACGACATCTTCAGCTTCAGAACCTGATTCTGCAGTTGACGTGTCACTTCCTTTTATCCATGGATAAGACGGCTTTGCATAAGCAATGACTTTCCCCTCGCTGTTCAGAACTTTCACCACCTGCTTCGCGCGGTGAGCTCCCCCATGAAGTACCATCTGCAATAGTAGTAATCCATTAAATTCCATTTCTGAATCATATAAACTGATTGTACGAAAGCTTCGGTGTGTAAAAAGAAATAAAGTACATATTAGTTACCTTCACAATCTCGGGATTTTTCCAAGGCCCTTTATCGGAAAGCATACAACCTCCCTGATCTGCGCAAGTACATGCACCTCCCAGGAATTCAGGCAACTCGCTGAAACAAATGAAAGATACATCACTGGTGTAAGCAAAACAGAGAAGAAACAATTAAATCAAGAAGGCAAAAAGAATTCAGAATTCAGGCTACATACCTAGAATCGATAACCTCGAGCAATTTGCTCTGATACTTGTATCCAAGTACCTACCATTACAAAATGAAACAGTCCATAATGAATTCCAGGAGCAGTTTAAATAAGGCAGCTACACAAAAGAAATATGAAATGTATTTGATGTACATGAATCTTAGAAGTTGTTTTGGGGTCTAGAAAGCTCTTCACAGTGCTCCAAAGCAGACGGAATCCTGGCCCTGCATTGATGATAAACATCTGGTGAAGTGTCTCAGGATAATTGTCTCCATCAATCTTCTGCAACCGTGTAATAAGCTCACGAGCAGACTTTGTGAAGTTCTTCAATCCCACTCCTTGGACGTCCAAAATAGTTGTGCTTGAATCAATATACTTCTTTGCAGCAATGGTGCAAGCAGGAAACTTGATCATAAAACTCCTCTCGAATTCCTTAACATGATATCTTATATACCGATCGAGCGTAGTAACTTGCATCAGTTTGTTAGGATCAACTTTCCCTAGCCTTTCAATATACACAGGCCTGCCTTCTTTATCAACACTGTGATAACCGTGGGGGTAATATTTCAGAACATCATCAATCTCTTCAAACTGAAAATCCTGAATAATAGTGTCGGTACCAAACTCCTTCCTCCACTGGATCATATCTGCCCACATGTGCTTTGCTTTCTCAATGTCGAATTTCCTAGCCTTTAAGAACCTGAGCATCATGTGATAGTCATCGTGTTTATGGGGAAGCAACTCGTCCATTACCAAGGCTTGTCTAAACTCATCAACCGCCTGAAGCTCCTCTACATCACGAACGTCCTCGATGGAGACAGAACTGACCCGAACATCGCTTTTTCTTCTCTTTTTCTTGAGAGAATGCTTGAACTTGGTAGATGCATTGATTGCTTTCTTTTTCAAAGAACCGATTCTCGTCCTCCTCTCATCTTCAGAGTTCTCAAAATCAGACTTTCTTTCCTTTTTCTCATCACTGCTCAATACTCCCTCAAAACCTGTAGAAAAAAAAAACAATAACTTGTTTATCAATATTTCTTCACCGATCCAAAATCTTTCAAACAGCTGAAACTAAATAGCAAAAACCTATGAACCCACTAAGAAAAAAACGAAATTGCAGAGAGTTGCGCATCTCATTACTCAAAATACTCAAACAAGATATGCCTCTCTACCCCATTGGCCTTATGCTTCAGTGAAACCCTAACAGACTCAACCCCACCAAAAATCGCATTGATAGAAACCGATGGATCGAAAGATAAGGAAGCAGATCTGAGATACTTACATGGCCTTGCGAATCGATCGACCGGACCTGACATCTTAAGATACCGAATGAAGCAAAACTGTATCGCACAAATCAGAAAAATAACCAGAGAAAAGCAAATTGGCTGATCCACAAATCAATCCAACAATACGAATCGCTCTTTCTTTTTTGGTTTCTTGCGAATCTAACTTTCTCACATTAACCAGAAAAACTCCTGAGATTTCGCCAAAAAAATAAAAATTAATAAGAAAAAGAAAGGAACAAAATTTCAGAAGTAAAAAGTGGAGTAGAATTCGGAGCTAACTATGGGGGGCACTCTTTTTCTTTTGTTATTGTATTTATTCACTCTTAAGATTTTTATCTATTTTTGTTGGCAGTATTAAAATATCTAATTTTTTTTTGTATTTACTCCATATTTAATGATAAATCCCTATTATTTTCATTCTTTTCCTATTGTCAACCCCACTCTATTTTTCCTTCACATCTCATACTATAAATAACAAATACCACCAAAATACTCCAATGAGAACATCAGAAGTCAGAACCTCCAACCACAAGTCAACATAAAAAGGGAGGTTTTGGTGAAGGAAGGAATCGTGGTTGTGCATCAAATATAAAAATCGAGGTTACTTCTGTAATAAAATCTAATAAATGCCCTGAAAATAATAAATATGCATGAGACTGGGACGTATCTATAAATTTATAAATAAGTGAAAAAAGAGATTCTCTTTTTCTCACCAGCAGACGAAGATCTGACGGTCGTAGATGAAATTCTTTTAACGGATCTACGATCAGTATAGGTTGGCTGTAACGTCAGAATCAGAGAAGCCCAGATAAATTATCAAAAACGATGGATGAGAATTTCGCCGACAAAACGGAGCAGTAAACGATGAGTCAACAGTCATTGGACATTTGTTGTCGGATTTTATTATTTATCCCTTTTTCTTTTCTTAATTCCTTCTCCCAAGAAGTATTCCTTAATACTAGTACTTAACTGTTTATACTAATTGCTATTCCCAAAATAATTAAACGTGGCTAATTAATAAATTTTTTTGGTGAACATTAATACTAGTAACAAAAGATTTGCATTTCGATCGAAAGATTACTTTATTTAATCGCGACAAAATGACAACATTTGTTTATTACATGTCACTCTTGTAAGAATTCCAAAAATCATCGTCTCCTTCATTATCGTCACATTCATCTCCACCGTCCGATCTCACGCCATTCTCAATATTCCCACCGTCCGATTCCTTCGTTGCATCTACTCCATCACTTGCCCGCTTCGTCTCCTCAGGCTTCTCCGGCTCCTCCTCCTACACATACAAAACGACAACGCATTTAATACTTTAGTCACCTTGTTAACAAAATTAACAGATTTTGGCGCCAACTAAAGCTGGGGATTTTACATTCTCGGGAGCATCATTTGTCTCTGCCTCTGCGCCGGCTTCTTCCTCTTCTTCTTCGGCTTCTTTCGCAGCCGCTGCTTCCTCTTGAAGCTTCTTAATCACCTTCGGAAAATGAATTAGAACTGCAAAACAGAGCAACACTTTCAGATTTCTATGGCTCATCCAAGAAAACTATATATTCAGAGAGAAGGTGAGCGATAACGGATCTCTCTCACCTTCTGGCCGACTTGACAATGCATCATTAATCTTCAATGGATATCTACGTTCTTCCAATTTGAATTTGAGCTTCATCTGTTCCCGTGTTCTATTCGGAAACAGGCGTTGTATAAATGATAGATTGCTCCCAAACTCTCGAAGCCCCTACAAACATTAAAACAGGGAAATCCCATCTATAAATACTTATGAACAATCAATATCTTATCTCCGGCCAAGGTGATTGTTTTGTCTCCTAGAGTTTCATTTCGTTTAAAAGTAGATATCTGACAATGATAGTCATAGGAATCAGGGGATCTCAACTTTACCTGATAGAAGATTTCTGTATCTTCCTTTGACCATCGAGTTCTGGAAGTCTTGTTCATGTACGTTTGATAGTTAACAGGTGAGTCTGGTTTAACTACATTAGTTTCTTGATATTCACTCGACTCCATACCAAAATCATCTTCTTCATCAAATCCTTGAGACGAATACTGACTCCCTGATGCGTTCATAGTACTGCACATAACACACACCCTTAAGACAAGAGGAAAAAAGTCCAAAAAGGAGTATAATTTTAGCATCTCACACTTTCTATTTTCATTTGTCTGGATATAATACCTTTCTTGGGTCGGTGGCACAACACCTCCCTTGGCTTCTTTTTTCTGTAATTAACAAAACATAGACAATCAGAAACGGTTAGAATCCAAGCTACAAGGGTATGCTACAATTCCATAGAATCTGCAGAGCTCAAATGTACAGTCTTCTTACCGCCATCCATTCTTTATATTCAACAAGGCGTAGCATATCTCTAATAGGCAGAGATCTGATTTCTTCATCCGGGGTTTCAAGCAATTCCGTCTCCACTGCCACAGGTGACAAACATGAATCAATATGCACACAATAGCTAACCATAGGGTAGATGATAATATCAGTTAGTTAGTTACATGTTCTCTTTTGTCGACGACTTGAATGTTTGAATTTTTTCTCTGGTTTTTCGCTAGACTTATTTGGCGCTTCTTCACTCGTGTTTTTTCGCTTTCGAGCTCCCTTCGATTTTCCCTTTTTTCTTTCTCTTCCAGACCGTTCTTCTTCAAATGTATTGCCAAAACCATTTTCTTCTTCTCCTGTACCTGTATAGTTATCCCATCCGCCAGAAGCATTTCGGGCCTCCATCTCAGGAACCTGTAAAAGAATTACATGCAGAACCATATATTATATTTGCTAAACTTAAAACAGTGTTGTTGGAAAGCAAACCCAATTTGCAGTCTTACCGTTTCTCTGGGGGCTTCAGGAACATTAAGTTCTTCTTCTTGAAGATGTCCATAAGTACTGAAACCGTTTCTTGATTCCATATTGACCATTAACTCAGGGTCATTAGTATCCATTGAAAAATAACCAGTACCACCAACAGAGTAATGACGCCCAGGTTCTTCAACCACAGTGTCGAGCAATCTAGGTTTTGGTTGGAACTTCCCAGTATGTTGCACTACACAGGTACCGTACAACATTATAAATATACATTTAACAGAACTAAAGCATATGAAAAATCTAAATATTCAGCGTTTAAAATTACCATATGAACTGGTGGTGCCTTCCTCCTGTATAATATCAAGAGTTTCCATATCCAAACGACCCTCATCTTCCTGTAACAATATCGAGACTTATTAATCAATTCAAAGTTTGCAGTAAAATAAATGACAAATCGGTGTTGAAGAGAATATTTACAATACCCCGGTTTCAGGAGTTACAAAATCTCGAAATATTGTAGAATCTTGTGTTCTGGGATCATCAGGAAATGCAGACGCCGCCTCTTCGCCACCATCACATCTTTCCCCCCCTAAATCCACATGATTACAAGCACGAAGAACAGATGCATCCCTAGACCAGTGAACTTCTCTTGAGAATACATCTACATTCTATAAGAAGCAACAGACCTTTTTATAAGAACCTATAGCATACGCTACAAAACAATTCAAAAGGTAGACATAACACCATATTACCTCTTCTGATATTATTTCAATGGTAGATTGGTTAATGGTCCCATTATCCGGGACATTAATCTCAGAAGGTAAAACATCTGCAGAAAAGAAAAATAAATCCACATATGAAAACGCTGCCAACTTCGGAACAACATATAATAAACAAGCTGGTTTAGGGAAGAAACAAAACTGCTGGGAATAGACGTTGATCCGTCTAGAGAAACCGAATCTACGCTGGGTGTTGAGATTTTTTCCTTGGCAACATTGGTAGGCAGTGTTGTTTGGGTTGTTGAAAAAGAGACTTGCTTCTTCTTGGGTTGTGGTCTACCTTTTGGTTTAAACCTTGCACCAGCCCTTACTAGTAAATCCAAATTTCATAAGTTTTAGCCACATTAAGCAATTCCAAGCAAAAAGGTCATGAAACTAATCAAAGTGAACTAAAAAGAAACCCCAGTTACCTGCTGGAGCAGTATGATCCGAGGGTTGATCATCAAAATCAAAATCCATCACTTCGTTTTCTATGTTTCACAGATAATCTCACTCTCACCAAAGTGTCACCACCCTCTGATAATACAAGAAAAAAAAAGTTTTTCGTCAAACCATTAATATATATCTAAAGTGAGCAACACGTAGCCATAAACAAGTTTAAGATCAATGACAGATCTCAAGACATATCAATATGTACATAAGCTCAATAAAAAGCAAAAACATGAACATCATAGCAGAGTAAAATCAAGTACCAATGACTAAATTGGTTTCTAGTTTAGTCTTCGTGAACGGGAAAACCAACGGCTATTCGTTACTCAGCAAAACCAAGGCGACTCTTATAACACAGAAAATAAAAACTGAAACTTTTCACAGAGAACTAGAAATTAGAAATACCCGATAAACCACGAAACGATCCGTCGAATCTAGGCCATTGTTGCCGTCGCTAGGGTTTAGCTACTCGGAAAAGATTGGCCGGGAAGGGTCTGCGCCTAATTATCGCATAGATAAAGAAAAACAAAAATTAAAAATAAGAAGAGAAGATCGTGCAGGCTAGTGGTCAATTATGACGTCCGTTAAAGTTTGGTTTTGACCTCGCACTAGGGTTCGATACTCTCCCACTTAACGATCTCTCAATTATCATAGCCCTTAAATGGGCCTATAGGGCTTTATAAGAGGTTTTTCTCACTTTACACAACCCAGCACGGCCCAAACCCGAAAATAGCCCACCCAGAAAAAACCCAGATTCAAAAAAGAAATTAGATGTAATTTTTTTTTTTTTTTTGTAAAGAAATTAGATGTAATTTGTTTGCTGTTTTTGTTTTTTTACTTGTAATTTCTTATACTCACGACAACATCCCTAGATTTGCATCAGCTTTCCCAAATATAACAAAGATTGAATCCAACAAATCCAAAATGCAACAATGAACGACTTTAAATCCAAAATCGAATTTTCAAAGAAGACTAACCACAATCTGTAAAACCCACTTCGAGATAGACAATATAAAACTCAATTCGTGGCCATCAATGGAGGACAATGGAAAACGAAGACAATGGAAGAAGATGGAAGACAAACAACTGAAATTGATGAGTTTGGGTTTTAATGGGAACGAAGATAATGGAAGACGAAGCAACAATAGCGGACAGTGGCGGACGAAGAAGCTTAGGTTTCAATGGCAGACGAAGAACTCAGTGGAATTGATGTCGGAGACTCGGAGTCGTTGTCGGATTCAAGAGAAAGAAGAAGGGCGATTAGGTTTAGTTTAGTAAAGATTTTTGATAGAAAACGGGTCATTTAGAAAGGCGATTAGGTTTAGTTTAGACAAAGCAACAATAGCGGATTAGGTTTTTTGATAAACGACTTCGTACTAGTACTGTACTAGTAGTACATATTGCTAAAACAGCAGAAGGAATTAATAAGTTGACCAGTGAGAACATTAGAGACAGGTAATTAGCAAAAAGCAAAACGCAGTTCAATAATCACATAAACCAATCCAACACTTCAATTATGCAGCTTATAATTTTGTTCATAATTCAACAAAACTACGATAAATCCACAAATTAAAACGAAAAATAAACCTACAAATTCAAACACCCAAATCTGCAAAATCGCACACCTTGAGATTCGCCGGAGCTTAGAGTCGACGGAGCTTCGTCGAACCTCTATGTTTAGGTCAAAGCTTTTATCGTTTACCAAAAACTTAGAAAGACAAAACATTGTAGGAAAAAAGAAATAAAAAGAAAGACAAAACATTAAAATAAAAAGAAAATTCAAGAAAAACCCACAATCTTACCCGATTAAACCCGTTAGTTATCGGGTCTGGGTCTGCCCATCTAAACACATTTTTTTTTAAATGAGACTTTTTTTTAAATGAGTTTGGGTCTATAAAAATATATAAGGCCCGTTTAGACCCTGCGGACTTAATGCCCGCTTTAACAATACTAGGTGGCTGTCTTACAAAATTAGTGTGCTGTCTGGATGTCAAATCTCTTCCTCGTTTCTGTGCTTCGCGGACAGTTGTAAGTTCCTGTCTTCGTCTGTTTTTTTCCATTTTATAGTGTTCAGATTCGGGAATCTCAATTCTTTTGTAAGTTGATGTGTCTTTTAATTTTCTAATTTGTCCCAAATTTTCTAAGATCTGTAAATCAATTTGATTTCGTTTGTTTCGGATTTACGCAAGCTCCTTTGGATCCTGAATTCATGGTTTTATAGCTCTAGAGATCTTAACAATTTTGCGTTTTCGTATCGTTTAAAGTTATCAGTTTTTTTAGAGTTGAGCTATGGTAAAGGAGAGTGAGTACTACGACATCTTAGGCGTCAAGATTGACGCGCCAGGTTCTGAGATTAAAAAAGCTTATTATGTTAAAGTAAGTCTTTGTGTTTCTCATCTGATTTTGATCTGTATGATTTTTTTTAAAAAATTTGTTTTTAGTTTGATAGCTTGTCACATAGTGTTCATGTGTTAGTTCCTAGAGTTGATTTTAATGTTAAGAATCAGACAGTGGACTATAAGAAACTTTTTTTGTTTCCAAAATTGGAAATTTTTTAGGCAATTTCTGTGGATTTTTCATTTCATGGCTCTCATATTTATTGCAGGCAAGGCAAGTTCATCCAGACAAGAACCCTGGTGATCCACAAGCTGCTAAAAACTTTCAGGTGATTTTTTTTGCCTTCTTCACCTTAGAGCAATTTGTAGAATCATTTGATTGAACAGTATACTCAGAGTCACTCCTATCTGTAAAATCGTTATGTGAATGAAGGTACTAGGTGAAGCTTACCAAGTTCTTAGCGATCCGGAGAAGCGAACAGCTTATGACAAATATGGAAAAGAAGGGGTTCAACAGTAAGTTTTCACGTTCTTTCCATTCCTTATGATTAACTACATTTGATAACAGTTCTGGGTATGTCTCACATAAAGGCACTTCCCTTCAAGTCTAGATATATCTTATATGGTGTTTATGCTAGATTCTTGGTTCCATTAGGATTAGTAGTGCTTTAAGATAAGTTGTAGATTTTATTTTGATTCCATTTATGTTATTTGATATTTGATTTCCCTTATACGTTTAGTTTCCATAAGGTTATTTTCTTATAAATGTACCCCTATTCTATCAGTTTATACGTCATTTGAGAAAGTGATTGGTCTAAATAACTTCCATTTTCTTGTAGGGATGCAATGGTTGATCCAGCAGCTGTATTTGGTATGCTATTTGGTAGTGAGCTGTTTGAGGATTATGTTGGGCAACTTGCACTTGCTTCAATAGCATCAATCGATGCCGAATTAGAATCATATGAGCCTGAGATTAGAAAACAGATGCTTCAGGAGAAAATCAAAGTTGGTTGCTTTTCCTCTTTGTTTACTGTTTTCTTAGGCCTTACCATTTATATATCTGTAAGTTTTATTCGGATCTTTATGCAGGCTATGCAAAAGGGCAGGGAAGACAAGCTCGCCTCTACACTGAAAATCAAACTCGAACCGTTCGTCGAAGGACAAACCGATGAATTTGTAAACTGGGCCACTGCAGAGGCAAAACGGCTTTCTACAGCTGGTAATCAGTCCTTTCTCAGTTACCGTTTCAAGTTTGGATTTTTCGCTCCTCAAGTAAATGAAAGGCACAAGCTTTGGCAGTTAGGCAAAACCAAATAAACTGAGTGTTGTTTGTTCTTTTCGGTTACTATTCAGGTTTTGGTGAGGCAATGCTACATACCATTGGTTACATTTACACTAGAAAAGCTGCTAAAGAACTGGGCAAGGACAAACGTTACATGAAAGTACCGTTTTTAGCTGAGTGGGTTCGCGACAAAGGTCACAAAGTAAAATCTCAAGTGATGGCTGCTTCTGGTAAAAGCAAAAAAATTAAAACCAATGTTTAAGTTGGATTTGTAAGGGATGCTTTTGATTAACTAAAAAAAAACTTCCTTCATTGTAGGTGCGGTCTCGTTACTTCAGCTGCAGGATGAAGTGAGCAAGATGAATCACGGAGAGAACAAAGAAGAGAATATTCAGAAAGCCGTTGAAGCTAAAAAAGATGCAATGATACAATCCCTTTGGCAAATCAATGTTGTTGACATAGAATCAACCTTGTCTCGTGTCTGTCAAGCGGTAAGATCCATTGCGATTTGGGTCTACAACCATAATATTATTACATTATAATATAATAAAATTTTTGTTGTCACTGTTGTTTGTCCTCAGGTGCTGAAAGATCCAAGTGTTTCAAAGGATGTTCTTCGAGCTAGAGCTAGAGGGTTGAGGAAGCTCGGAAACATTTTCCAGGTGAGTCATATAACAAAAACCATAAGTGTTGGTTCCCTAAACGTAACACATTGAAACTCTGCTTAACATTTCTACCAGGGTTCTAAGAAACCGTACTCTAGAGAAAACAGTTTGCGTCACGAAGAAGCCGCCGTGAAACTCCACGCCGGAGATTCCTCGAAGCCGGCGTCTTAAATCACGTAAACAATATTCGAATCTTATAGGTTCGAAACAGAACAATCGGTTTTTTCTGAGAATTATTGAATGTATTGTAAGTTGTAACACGATTATATCATTTCTTCCTAATTTATTTTCTAATAATAATATTATGGGAAGTGATGGTTTCGTCTTTATATTCCCTTTATAAAATCTTCCGTGTTGGCTTCACAAAACTCCAGGTCGCGTATCCTGTAAGATAAATAGACAAGGACAGGGGTGTTTTTTATAAATTGGTCCTTGTAGTGTTGTAAGTTTTTTAAAATCGGAATTTAATTTTTAATTAATAAACGGCCCCGTCTAACGACGTCACTGGGAAAAGTTGCCGGTTAATTATTCGTTCTCCCTCCCTTTTTGTCCTTTAACGTGACGTGGCACTTTCTCACCGTAAGCCACTATAATTCCGCTAACTCTAACGGCGACACAACCAAACCGGCTTATATTGGTTCGACCATGGCAAAACGAGAGTAATTTTTTCTTTCCAATCTATATATGTATTTGGAGAATCTATTATCCGGCGTGAAGTAAACCATCAGAAAAGACTTGAATTCGTCTCTTTCCCTCTCTCTAACGAGAAAAGGAACAAAGCAAGGCCTTGTTCGCTTTTTCTCCCTTTCTCACTCTAACAACTTCTCTCTCTCTCTCTCTGTGAAACTGTCGTCTTCCTCTTCTCCGGCGGCGTTTGGGGACTTGTGGGAGCAGGTTCGATGTTCGTGACTCCTTTACCATCAATTCCGATTTGATTGTTTTGATTCTGTTATCCTTTTGTTTGTTTCTTTCCGAATTTTATCCTTTGGGTATTGATTATAGGGGTTTTCGTAGATATTTCGGCCTTAAGCTCGGATTTGTTTGATGCTATTTTTACTTTAACTTCTTTCATTTTGTTTTGATTTTTTCTTCTTCTTAATTTCGCTTTATGTTAGTGAGGATAGTCATAGCAGTTCAAGTGATCTAGAAACTCGTGACCATAGATATATTGCTATGATTCCTTTTCTTCAAACTGTTACTTTGTTATTTGATCGATGACTAGTTAACTCTCAGAGATCTTAAACATGGGGCTCTACTTATTTTGCTTGGAATTTTGTTTGGGATTTTCTGACTCTGTGATGATTTTGATTGTCTGATATGAATTTTCTGGTTTTTTTTTTTGTTTTTTGCTGTTAAGGTTGCAGCTAGAAAAGGATTGTTGTGCTGACGTTCTACTGAGAGGTCTCATCCGCCAAGGAATTATTAGCACTGTCTTTGCCATATTGCTTAATAGTTGCGAGTTATGGGGAATGCGTGTTGTGTTGCTGCTCGAGACAAAATGGTAGTGCCTAATTCATCAGCTGGTGAGAATTTGCAGAGGACCAATGTCAGGCATTCCCCGAGTTGGAGTTTCCGCTGGGATAGTAGAGGACGTGTAGCTGGTGAAGAAACCTCTCTCAGCTGGTTATCTGATGGGATTAGTCGGAACGATGGTTCTGAGCTCAAATTTGAATCTGCTTTTGTATCAACTGAGGGGTCTCCTTCGGACAGTTTTCAGACACAATCATTGCAGAAATCTCCTGCTTCAGGTAAATAATTTTAGGTTGTTGGGAATGGTTACATTAAAATCGTATGCCTCAGCTTTTTTTGTGGAACCTGTAAACTTGAGGGAAACACATGTTACTTGGTCTTACTCACTTGGAACTATACATAACGGAAAAAAAGACTTTCTATGTTTGTTGAGAATTTGTTTGTTTGCTTCGTGGCTTGCTTCCGTATCTGTCTTGATCATAATCTATTTTGGCAGATTTATCTTTTCCAAGACATTCTAACATGGATACAGTCTTCGAACAGGTGAAGCACCAGTAGTTGAGTTCTCTCTCATATCTTTGAAATTTTACCCTTGTTGATACCTAATCTCTCTTTCGCACAGAAAGAAAATGTTTCAACAGAGTCTGCAGCACCATTATATCCTTCTCTTGCACAATTGTCTATTTCACTAGCTTCGCTGCTATCATCTTTCCCTACGTCACCACTTTCGTCCCAAAGCCACTTGCCTGCAAGTTCATCTGTACTAAAACTGACACACCGCCCCTGTCTATCGAAGCAAGTCTCAGATGGGCAAATCTATGGTCCGAACTCACTAAGTGAAAGCTCAGCAACTGAAGAGAGGCATGGAACCCCTTTGAGATATGATTCTTCTCAGTCGGGACCATCTGAAGGTTGGTCATTGCAAGCCTTTTCTGAAATGATGTCATCCTCTCGCGGGGACGAGCCGTTGTCTTATGATAATGATTGTTTTGGACTTCAATGTGACAAGATAGACCATCATGGCAACCGAATGTCAAAGCAACAGCAGCAAATTTGCGGAGCTTGCTCTAGACCATTGTCGGAGAAATCCTTGTGGAGCAGCCAAAAGATCTTTATGACCAACGAGCTCTCTGTGTCTTCAATTCTAGCTTGTGGGCATGTCTACCACGGGGAGTGTTTAGAACAGATGACGGCAGAAATCGATAAATTTGACCCTTCATGCCCAATCTGTACAATGGGTGAGAAGAAAACGGCGAAGCTGTCAGAAAAAGCTTTGAAAGTAGAGATGGACTTGAAAGCTAGGCACAACAAAAGACTCAGAAAGAGAGTTTTGGACAGTGAATTTGATTGTGATGATTTTGTAATGTTTGATCATAGCCACAGGACAGCAGCAGCAGCAAGCAAGAGTCCTAAACTGGTCTCGAGTTCGAGTGCTAAAAGCTATTCTGCAAAGCCTTTCTTGGCTCGACACTTCTCTTTTGGGTCCAGAAGTAACTATAAATCCCGTAAAGAGAATCTTCCTGTAAAAAAGAAAGGCTTCTTCTGGAGCAAATCCAGCAAAATATGAACTTGTAAGCCTCTCGCTCTTTTTTTTTGTGCTAGCTGAAAGTCAATTCAGTGAATCACAAATAAGACTTTTGTGGTTGTTGTTTCAGATTTTGCAATGATGTACTTTGACTACGGTCTGAAGCATAGAAGTCGATACACACGGACACGGTACCATTCAATTCAAAGCAGGATATTTGTTCTCATGAAGCTCAACAAAATTTGTCTTATCAATGTTTTTTTAAAAAATGATTACTAAATTTTCACACATGTAAAGTTACGAATTTAGATTATAAGGTTGGGGATGAATACAACATTGGATCATTTAGTATATTAACTACCCTGGCTATGCATATATAGGAATTGGACTCTGAAGACAACCGATTGGGTATATAGTTTGTATTATATCTGCCAGTTTGACCTCAACTAAACTCTTTTATGTAATTATTGATTTGTTTCTCTTTTTTTATTGCTGGTGATTCATTTCTGGTCTGAACAATATTTAAGCAGAAATGATTTTCAGATACATCATCAGAAAAAACCGTTTTCTAATATATGTGATATCTGATGGAATTATCAGTAAAGTTCGTTGCTTAAAAATTTAAAGTGACACATATATGCGCTTAGTGGCAATACCATACGTATCTGGTTTCGTTGTTGCGCCACGTGTCAGACCATGCACATGACTGATGATGAATGTATAGTTTAGTACAGATAACGGTCACCCAAACGCATAATGTACTCACTAGCTACGTTCGGGTTGAGACTCGAATTGAAGTTCTTCACAATGGCTGATCTGAAAGACGAACGAGGAAACCCGATCTATCTCACGGACGAACACGGGAAGACGGCTCAGCTCATGGACGAGTTTGGTAACGCTATGCACCTAACAGGTGTCGCAACCACAGTTCCTCACCTTAAGGAGAGCAGTTACACTGGTCCACACCCAATCACTGCACCAGTCACCACCACCGATACGCCTCACCACGCACAACCTATCCCTGTGTCCCACGACCCTCTTCAAGACCATGATCGCCGCTGGTTCGGCACCAACTCGGTAAGATCGATTAATGATCTCACCATAATACTATATGTAGAAGCTAAGTATATGTAGTTATGTACATATAATTAGATAACTATTCCACAATACTATTATACAATCTAATCTGTATGCATGTCTGTACAACTGTAAACCAGCGACACTTATCCTCTAGCCACACGCAATTAAGTTCTAATAGCATATATGCTTGTGTATAGTTTATTATCATCAAGATTTACTATTGATCATTCGACACATATAAATTTGTAGACGGAGGAGGATGATGAAGGAGTACAGAGGAAAAGTAATATAACGACTGATGAAACTAAGACGAAGCCATCGGATGCGACCCGATCAGGATCGGTGCATGAGCCGCATGAGAAGAAGGGTTTCTTCAAGAGGATTAAGGATAAACTTACCGGCCACCGTAGAGAATAAAGATGATATGTGAAAGTTTCCATACAGTATACGGATAGTCATATGATTACTTGTAATCACAGTTATGGTCATAAATCATCTTTGAATTTATTGGAATTAACAGTTGTTTGCAATTGTATAACACGATAAAGGAGAATGCTGTTGTTGAGTATATTTGGTTACTAAATATCGAATTGGACTGAGTTTGGGAGGGTATAAATTCGATCCAACGGGTGAGATTGCATAATCCTAATCTCTCTCTGTCTCTCTATTCAAAACCTTTCCGTCGTTGATGGATGGCTCGCTGTTCCGTCAATTTCCGTCTCATAGCAACAAAATGTTAGCTCAGTCGCACTTGCTGTGTAACTCCTTGGATCTGATTCAGCCACCGTCTCTGGTGTCGCGGTCTACACCAACTTCCTCACTTCGTCTCCCTTCTTCGCCTAGGAGCAGCCGATTCTCCTTTCTATCTTCTTCTTCGAGCGCTGCTCCCGTCTCCCGTGGCCGGATCTCCCATACAATGGCTTCCAACTCGAAACGACCTAACCTTAACGAAAAAATTCCTTCGGAACTGAGCGAAGTCGAGCTAGATCGATTCGCCGCTGTGGGAAATGCACTAGCTGACGCTTCCGGCGAGGTCATCAGAACGTATTTCCGGAAGAAATTCGACATTGTCGAGAAAGATGATATGAGTAAGTTTCGACTGATAGTGTACAACGGAGCTCTCTGCTCAGCTTTTGTGATATTGTAGACTTATATATGGGTATAGAGTAAGATAGTGATTGAGCACCAAGTTTTAGGGTAACTGATAGTGAAATTGAAGGTTGATGACCCAATGTCATGCTTTTAAATGTCAGTGGAGTACCCTCGCCGGATAAATTATTAAGAACCTCTCACTCATGTAGGTCCTGTTACAATCGCTGATCAAATGGCTGAAGAGGCAATGGTATCGATTATATTCCAGAATCTTCCTTCTCATGCTATGTGAGTTTCGCTTGATAATTGGTTCTTGACAAATCGACTCTTGTGACCTATGTCCCCCAAGATAAATACACATTGATTGCTCTCTCCTCTAACCTTGAGTTTCAAATTGATGAATTGATTAGAAAACTAGCACTCCATATGTTCATTTTTATTCACATTGTCAAAGCTCAAACTGTAGATATGGTGAAGAGAAGGGTTGGAGATGCAAAGAGGAATCTGCAGACTATGTTTGGGTTTTGGACCCAATCGATGGAACAAAGAGCTTTATCACAGGTGCACTCGTTATTCTAATATTTTTTCATTTCTATGTTCTTATCAAGAGTTTGAGGATTTCACTGTGCTATCAATTGCTCGTCTCAGGGAAACCCGTGTTTGGTACATTGATAGCTCTGCTCTACAAAGGTAAACCGGTAAGATACTGACTCTGTCATTGTTTGCAAGCTTCCCATGTTTGTGGTATGCACTATAAGCACAGTAAGATTGTCAGGTCGGAATTTCTTATTGCCTAGCATGTAATCTGTTTTGTCTTAATTGTAGAGTAACTTACACATGCTAAATTTCTGAATTGTCTAACAACTTCTCTTATTCTGAACAATTGCATTTGGGTTTTACTAACTGACCATGTTTCCCTTCTCAGATTCTAGGTCTAATTGACCAGCCTGTTCTAAGAGAGAGGTGGATAGGACTGAGTGGAAGAAGAACTAAATTAAATGGGGAGGATATCTCAACACGATCTTGTCCAAAATTATCACAAGCATATCTGTAAGTTTGCGTCCATCGAGCCATAATAGATATACTTCTGTAGTCTATCTTTTCAAGGAAATAGCCTGAAAGCAAATACCATTCTCATGATTTTCATCATCATACTCTTCGATCTCACTATGTTCTATTCTCATATTTCTACTGCGCAGATACACCACTAGCCCACATCTATTCAGTGGAGAGGCAGAAAAGGCATATGCTCGAGTTAGAGACAAGGTTCTTATCTAATTGGCTATTATATTCTTACATGGGATTTAGTTAAATTGGGATTGTTCTCGGTTGGAGCATAGTACTGGCAAACAAAACTTAGATGAAAGCTCCTCATGAGAATTTCAAGAATAACCCATCTCGTAATAATCAGTATCTCAATTGAGCTTCTTACCCAGTTGATTTTTGTATGGACTCCTCTGAATCCCTTCTTTTATGTTCAGTGTTTGTCACTAGTAAATCCATTCTGGCTTGTTAAATTCTATTGTTACAGGTGAAGATGCCATTATACGGTTGTGATTGCTATGCTTATGCTCTCCTGGCTTCTGGATTTGTCGATCTTGTTATTGAATCCGGTCTAAAGGTAACTTTTCTGTTTGAATGACCATTATAATTTCTTGTCAAGTGAATGCCTTATGTACCAATCTTCAACTGGTACTGTCCGTTCACATCATACTAATACATTATACTAATTGAAGTTAATGTTACGCTTCACTAGCCGTATGATTTCCTTGCTCTGGTGCCTGTAATAGAAGGCGCTGGAGGTACTATAACCGATTGGAACGGTAAACCATTCATGTGGGAAGCTTCATCCAGTGCAGTTGCCACAAGTATGTTCAGTATTCCAAAAAAACTGTTGTTTTTTGCTCTCTTTCACAAAAATAATATTACTCTACCCCTGAATGTCGAATTATTAAACATTTTTATCTACTTTTTCATTTGTCACAGGCTTTAATGTAGTTGCAGCAGGAGATAGAGACATTCATCAGCAAGCTTTGGAGTCACTCGAGTGGCAGTGAAAAGCCTTCGCTGGTATGTTCCACCTACTTATTGTTTCTTCATAACTTTCTTGCGATAAAACGATAAATATGATAGTTTTGTTCATATTTGGTTGTTTGATTATTAAAAAAAAACTGATACTGAGGTTATGATTCTGGTTAGAACTTCAGCTAAAGTTTTTGATTTTCTTGAAATAGGGAACCAGAGTTATTTTATTTTTGGCTTTGTGTTAAAATTGTCAAGATAACAGAATTAGTAATTTGCTAAAAATAGACCATTGAATATCATCAATGCTCATATCCTCCACCAAATTACACCATACTCCAAAACTAGCCACACATATAACAACTCATCTTTCCTCTCTTTCATGACCTTTTTTTCTCCCTCTTTTCTTCAACCACAAGCTACCCAACAAACTCCCTCATTCCTTCTTATCTTTGTTCGTCCTCATCCTTCTCTCTTCTCTCTCTCCTTCCCACTCAGGAGGGATGGAGATAAGAAAGAAACCAAACATATGCACGATTCTTGTCTTTGATTTTTCTCCAAAGCCTTCCATGGCTCTCCTTCTGGCTATTCTCCTCTTCTTCTCAGGCCCTGCTGCATCTGCGGTAGCTGCAGCTGCTGTGGGACCTGCTGCTGGTTTTAAACCGGCAGATGATATTCTCATTGATTGTGGAAGCAAATCGTCATCCAAAACCCCTGATGGGAGAGTCTTTAAGAGTGACCAGGAGACGGTCCAATACATAGAAGCTAAGGAAGATATTCAGGTGTCTGCCCCACCTTCAGACAAAGTGGCTTCTCCTATATACCTAACTGCAAGGATCTTCCGTGAGGAAGCCACCTACAAATTCCATTTGACTCGACCTGGTTGGCATTGGGTTCGCCTTCACTTCTTGGCCTTCCCTAATGACAAGTTTGATCTCCAACAAGCAACTTTTTCCGTTCTAACGGAGAAATATGTGTTGCTTCATAATTTCAAAATAAGTAACAACAACAATGATAGTCAAGCTGTTGTTCAGAAGGAGTATCTCGTCAACATGACAGATGCTCAATTCGCCCTCAGGTTCAGACCTATGAAAAGCTCTGCAGCGTTCATCAACGCTATCGAAGTCGTGTCAGCTCCAGACGAACTAATCTCTGATTCTGGCACCGCCCTTTTCCCTGTAAATGGTTTCTCGGGTCTGTCTGACTACGCTTACCAGTCTGTTTACAGAGTTAATGTTGGTGGTCCCTTGATCATGCCTCAGAATGACACACTAGGAAGAACCTGGATACCAGATAAGGAATTCTTGAAAGATGAGAACTTGGCGAAGGACGTTAAAACAACCCCTTCGGCAATCAAGTACCCACCCGAAGTCACACCTTTGATTGCTCCACAGACCATCTATGCAACAGCAGCAGAAATGGCTAATTCTCAAACCATAGACCCTAATTTCAACGTTTCCTGGAATTTCCCCTCTAACCCATCATTTAACTACCTTATTCGGCTTCATTTCTGTGACATCGTTAGCAAGTCTCTCAATGATCTTTACTTTAACGTGTATATTAATGGGAAAACTGCCATTTCCGGGCTGGATTTGTCCACTGTCACTGGGGATCTAGCAGCTCCTTACTACAAAGACATCGTTGTGAATGCAACACTTATGGGCCCTGAGCTTCAAGTACAGATTGGTCCCATGGGAGAAGATACAGGTTCCAAAAACGCAATCTTGAACGGTGTTGAGGTTCTGAAGATGAGCAATGCCGTAAACAGCCTTGATGGAGAGTTTGGAGTTGATGGTAGAACCATTAGCATGGGGAAGCATGGTATGGTTGCAACCGCGGGGTTTGTGATGATGTTTGGAGCTTTCATTGGTCTGGGAGCCATGGTTTACAGGTGGAAGAAGAGGCCACAAGATTGGCAGAAGAGAAACAGTTTCTCCTCTTGGTTGCTACCAATACATGCCGGTGATAGCACTTTCATGACAAGCAAAGGTGGTTCTCAAAAATCCAACTTCTACAACTCAACTCTTGGCCTTGGCCGCTATTTCTCCCTTTCAGAACTTCAAGAAGCCACAAAGAACTTTGAAGCATCTCAGATTATCGGTGTTGGAGGATTCGGAAACGTCTACATTGGAACCCTCGATGATGGAACCAAAGTCGCTGTCAAACGAGGTAATCCACAGTCTGAACAAGGAATCACTGAGTTTCAGACAGAGATCCAGATGCTTTCTAAGCTGAGACACAGACACTTGGTCTCCTTGATTGGGTACTGTGACGAGAACTCAGAGATGATCTTAGTCTATGAGTTCATGTCCAATGGTCCATTCCGGGACCACTTGTACGGAAAGAACCTTGCTCCTCTAACCTGGAAACAACGACTTGAGATCTGTATCGGATCTGCACGTGGGCTTCACTACTTACACACAGGAACAGCTCAGGGGATTATCCACCGTGATGTCAAATCCACCAACATTCTCCTGGATGACGCTTTAGTTGCTAAAGTCGCTGACTTTGGTCTTTCTAAAGATGTAGCTTTTGGACAAAACCATGTCAGTACGGCCGTGAAAGGAAGTTTCGGGTACTTAGACCCCGAATACTTTAGAAGACAGCAGCTTACGGACAAATCCGATGTGTATTCCTTTGGTGTCGTTCTTCTAGAAGCACTGTGCGCAAGACCAGCCATCAATCCACAGCTACCAAGAGAGCAGGTTAACTTAGCTGAATGGGCTATGCAATGGAAACGAAAAGGACTTCTTGAAAAGATCATTGATCCTCATTTGGCTGGAACGATTAATCCTGAATCGATGAAGAAGTTTGCTGAAGCAGCAGAGAAGTGTTTGGAAGATTACGGTGTTGATAGGCCAACGATGGGAGATGTTCTATGGAACTTGGAGTATGCTCTTCAGCTTCAAGAGGCATTCACTCAGGGCAAAGCCGAAGAGACTGAGAACGCTAAGCCTAGTGCGGTGACACCTGGCTCGGTGCCGGTGTCTACTCCAACTCCGATCACTCCCTCAGCCACCACCGATGCAGCAGCGACTGTTCCGGTTTCTTCTAAAGTGGAAGAGAATAATGGCACAGCCGAGGTTCAGGCGGTGGATGAACACTCTGGAACAGCAATGTTTACTCAGTTTGCTAACCTTAACGGAAGATAAGAAAAATCTAACAGAGACTAATTTAAAAAGCAAAAAAAAATGCACCAAAACGAATTTGTCGTTATAAACAGTAATTGAAATAGAAAAATTTGACTTTTTTAAGGTGAGATAATTGTTTCTTTTTATGTTATTTTTGTTGTTGTTGTGGTGGTCCGGGAGATGTGTGATGTTTCTCTATATTTTGCTCTGTGTGTGTGTATTTTATCAAATTGATATATTTTTTGTATGAAGTGTATAATCTGTGGGATATGTATATACGTATGTATGTTCTGATGCATTTACTTTTACTTAATCCTCCTTTATTGTAGGTAATATTAGGTTACAAATACAACTTCACATTAAATTATAATGTTTTTTTGAATCTTGCTATAGAATTTACACCATTTGTACACATAGAAGACAAAAAATGCTCTTTTTGTATTCTAAACAGTTGTTGGTTTTACGGTCTGTACATCTGTTTCAGACCAAGGATAAGAACAAATTTTGATCATTTTTTCGGGCAAATAAATCTCCTCTCAAAGTTGGTGGTTAACATAAACTGAGGAACAATATGTTTGTCCTCCCAATTCTCGTATTCTGTTGTGTAGTGTTAAGTGTTAACTCTAGTTAAAGCTGTCACATTTCAACCTTAATAAGCTATATTAAGAGAAGGAACTCTATATGTTTTATGTGTGTTATTCAACCTCTGTTAGTTGTTAGTTAATTCATAATCGTGGAAACCGTTTCCTTCTTGAGATGGGTTATAGTTTGGTATAATCAGGGAAAGACATTATTAAGCTTTTCATCTTATCATCGTAGAAACCTTGCAATATTATATATAATCGTAAATGTTTGGATATGAAACTCGTCACAAGTGTTTGTAGGAGAGGAAGTATAGGTGAGAATAGGTTAGGGTCAGTCACAGATTCGTCAAAGAATAAGAGAACCATGAAAGTAAAAGAAAACATTAACCCAGAAATAGAAACCATTCCCTTCAATTAAGCAAATGACTTCTCTTTTTCTTTTTCTATTTTTTGCTTCTTCTGTATATATAGATGGATGAAAATCTTAAATTTCCCCACAAAAGCCAAATTGAGACCCAAGCTTTGTTGTGTTTTTGTTATCTCTGTCACTATGGAAAACATAAGTGGGTTGGCTTTTGACATGGGAGAGCTAAGAAGCAACCTTCCCAAAAAGTAACCACCTGATTATGGTTCTTATTGAATAATGTTATTCTGGATCACTATCTAATTTTGGATTTTGTGAAAATAGGAGAGGATTATCAAGGTACTATTCAGGGAAAGCAAGATCATTCATTTGCATCTCAGATGTTAAATGCCTTGAAGATCTCAAGAAACCAACCCAGACTTTTGATGCTGATGATGATGATGATGAGGTTTACAAGAAGAGGAAGAAGAAGAACAGGCAATCATCCTCATCTTCATTCTCTGCTGCTGTTAACAGCAATGTGAATTTCTCCAACTACCCTTGTCGTAGAGTCTCTAGTAGCACCCATTGTTCCTCTCCTTGTGTTGGTGCTTAGGAAATAAAGAAGGAAACACTTTCTCAATTTATCAAAATCCTCACTACAGTCCCCTCTGGTTTTATTCCAAACACAAACTTCAGTGTGTGGGTGCGCCATTCACATTTATTTTTGTTATTTTCTTGGCTGTTTCAAAATGTTTTTTTTGTTGTGGTTATCTTTTTCACTTGCGCAAATTATGTTAGATATGGATGTGTTTGTTCCAATTTGGTATAGAATGTTGGAAAAATCCTTTTAAATGTAATCCTACGCATTAGAAAAATGAATAAAAAAGAGAATTGAATTTCAAGAAGAACTTCAAAATGAATTTAGAATTTCATTATGTAAAAAAATATCATATGTTTTTTTTTTTTCCAATAAAAGCAAAACAATATGGAAGTCTAAAAAATAAATAATCCTTAACATTCCTTTTTATCTAAAAACGTGCAGCATTCATTTGAAGGCAAAGTCAGGACAAGTCATAATGAGTAATTGCTTACGTGGCTAAATTCTACGTGATTCACGACAAAGGGAGCGGGGTAGAAGCGAATACTTCACACGCGCTTCTTTTAAAAGCTGACGTGGTTAATTGACTATCTGATATTCTCCTTACCCATATGACCCCTGCTTTCCTCTATATTTACGATCCTGCCATTCTTCACCCAATCGCACGCTGATAAGACCCCCTATGACTTGTTCTTGCCGTACCCCGCGAGGCATGGGATTAATTTCTGACCTGTATACTGAGAGAAAACTAATCGCCAAGTATAATATTTTTTTGCCTCACTTGAACGAACCTTCATCACACACACCTTCTTCAGATGCCCAAGCAAAAAGCTCCAAGGAAGCAACTCAAGTCCTATAAACTCAAACATATCAACAAGACGATTCAAGGTACGTCTGGCTTCTTCAACCCCCCAGTTTGATTTCCTTTCCCTTCCGTTAATTGTTCGGTTTGGCTGTCGTGGTTGAAGAGGGAGATGCTGTGTTGATGCGGTCGTCGGAGCCGGGGAAACCGTCGTACGTAGCGAGGGTAGAGGCGATCGAGACGGACGCGCGTGGATCGCACGCGAAAGTTCGTGTGAGGTGGTATTACCGCCCCGAGGAATCTATCGGAGGGAGGAGACAGTTCCATGGAGCCAAGGAGGTTTTCCTCTCGGACCACTTTGATTTTCAAAGCGCCGATACGATCGAAGGCAAGTGTAAGGTCCACAGTTTCAGTAGCTATACCAAACTCGACTCCGTCGGAAACGACGACTTCTTCTGTCGTTTCGAGTACAATTCCGCCACCGGCGCCTTTATTCCTGACAGAGTTGCCGTGTATGTGTCTCTCACACTCTCTGTTACCATATTGATTCTGTTACTATTCGAGAATGGATGATTGAATGATGATCAACTGTTAGATATCACCTTATAGCTTATTAAAGTGTTTGGTTTGTATCTAAGCTTTTTTGGAAGTTATATTAGATGCGACTCTAGTGTGCTAGCGGAGGCATTGAGTGTTCTTCTATAACTTATAATAGTTTGTAATCTAATTGGTTTATGTGTAAGGGTTCCACGAAGCTGTTTTTGCAAGATATACTCACTTGAGTCTTAGCTAGGTTTTTTTTTGCAATCTAAATTGGGTTTTTGTTTTTCCTTTGGCAGGTTCTGCAAGTGTGAGATGCCGTACAACCCTGATGACTTGATGGTTCAATGCGAGGAGTGTTCCGAGTGGTAAGAGTTCCCTTGCTTGAAACTCTTTTTTAATATTCTTAACTCACAAGCTGGAATTGCTCATAGCCTCATATGGTTTAAGTGTCTTAAATGAGTTCTAGACTCCTAGTGGATATGCTATTGAGATTGCTTAAGATGAATGCATCCCTCATTCATTAAGTTATGTGATGCCCTTCCTTGCTCATGCATAGTCTTATCTGATTCTATGGAAACTAGTGATGAATGGGAGCAAAAGCCGATATTTTGGTCTGAACCCCTTTAAAGATGTTGTGAGGATATTATAACTGTAATTTACTGATTGATGTCAATATTGATCTTGGAATTGTTATAAACTTTTGTCTTTATTTATTTTATTTTTTTGTAAAGAGGATTTTGTTGCGAATGTCTTTGTCTAGTGCCTTGGATGTTACAGCAGACTAACATTGGCTCAGGTTTCATCCTTCTTGTATTGAAACAACAATAGAGGAAGCTAAAAAGCTGGATCACTTCTACTGCGAAGAGTGTTCCCCACAAGAGCAGGATTTGCAGAACTCAAATTCAACTTCTAAACACAGAGATGTCAAGGTATTTATTTCTATGAAAACAAATTGAACAGCTGAACGCCTGAACCTTAAGTATACTATGTCTTGTTAAGGGGAAAGAAAAGCTATTGATAAGTTTGGTCCTAACAAAACGAACAGGTGAATGGAAAGCGCAACTTGGAGGTAACCAAGCCGAAGAACAGACAGACTAAGCGACCAGGTTAACATAAACCTGTAAAGGCTATATATATATATGTGGGGTGAGTTGAGTATCAATCATATAATATGTAAAAGGTGGTTTGTTTTCTATCTCCCTCTCTAGTTTTTCTTTGTTAAGAAGGAGGGTTTAGGTCGTTGGCTTGATTATATGTATAGTCTATGGTTCCTTATCTGCCTTTAAGTTGTCACATAAAAAGTTTGGGTAAAATGGTTATGTTTATAACACAAAACAAAGAGAGGGTCGGTTGCTCATTTGGTTGTTGTTTCTACAATTTTGAACTCGAGAGGAAAGTGATGACTTTTGAACCAAAACCCGTGCTTCATTCTTTATTATGGGTCTTTAAACGCCAAATGCAAAGTAACAAACATGGGTTAATTAACTGTATAAATATAGTAGCAGCAGTAGTTGAATTTCAAACAATTAAATTTAGGATCTAATAAATCAGTAGAACACTTATTTAATTTTAACGTCGTGTATCAAAATTTTGATAGAGGAGAGGAGACACGTTAGGTTGGAAAACATATATAAATCAAAGAAGACAAATATTGCAACTTACGTTTCCAGTTAGAGCAGCGAGGAGCAGTAGAAATAAAAGAAAAAAGAATAATAATTTGTTCATGTAGAGGACGACACGGCACTGGTAAACAAGTTGAACCTATCCCACTCCATTATTCCATACCCATTCAACTGTGAAAACACGTGTTTGGACATGATTGGTTAACTCTTCTTTTTCCCGTTTCCCCATTGGATAAGCAATAAATATCTTCCGATTTCTCCGACTTATGAATAATAATAACAAATAATATCTTCTTTTCATTATCTTTAAAGAAACCGAAAGCTCATCTCCAAAGCGAAAAAGACATCTTCTATACATACACACATACACATTCACGTTGCGTGTGTATATCTTCTTCTTTCACCCCCCCCCCCTCCTCCTTCTTCTTACTTAGGGTTCTATATTAATCCTTCTATTTTGCTCTCTCCTTTCTCTCAAATTGAATCGAAACAAAATCAATGGATCGTCTTAAGCTTTGTTTCTCCGTTTTCGTTCTGTTTTTCTTCATCGCCTCCGTTTCGTCGTCCGATGTCAACGACGGCGATGATCTGGTGATCCGTCAGGTGGTTGGTGGAGCCGATTCCGAGGTTTTGTCCTCGGCGGATCACTTTTCTCTCTTTAAGAAAAAGTTCGGCAAGGTCTACGCTTCCAACGAGGAGCATGACTACAGGTTCTCCGTTTTCAAGGCCAATCTGAGGCAAGCGAGGCGTCACCAGAAGTTGGATCCGTCGGCGCGTCACGGTGTAACGCAGTTCTCAGATCTGACTCGCTCCGAGTTCAGGAAGAAGCATCTGGGGGTTAAAGGTGGGTTTAAGCTTCCCAAGGATGCCAACAAGGCTCCCATCCTCCCTACCGAAAATCTCCCTGAGGAGTTTGACTGGAGAGATCATGGTGCTGTTACCCCCGTCAAAAATCAGGTACTCGTTGATGATGCAAATTTCCTCCTACTCGAATTCGTTGACTCTGGATGTTTTGCTGATGTCTTCGGTGTTACCAATTAGGGATCTTGCGGTTCTTGCTGGAGTTTCAGCGCCACCGGAGCTCTGGAAGGGGCTAACTTCCTCTCTACCGGCAAACTCATCAGCCTTAGCGAACAACAGCTCGTCGACTGTGATCACGAGGTTTCACTTTGTTTCTCTCTCTATTCCCTGTTATCCTTCGAGGGCATTAAACATTAAGGATTTTTATATCAGTGTCAGATTGTGTGTTGTGCTCAAAGTATAGATTTTTTACAAGATGTTCACGGTTTGAGATAATTAGGATGATCAATCTCAGCACTTTGTTCTTCTTGCTTAGTTTTAATGAGTTTTGTTACTTGAAACTTGTCTAATAAGTGTTGCTATCATCTCTTTATTGCAGTGTGATCCAGAGGAGGCAGGTTCGTGCGACTCTGGTTGTAATGGTGGGCTAATGAACAGCGCATTTGAATACACCCTCAAAACCGGAGGGCTCATGAGAGAAGAAGACTATCCTTACACTGGAAAGGACGGCCCCACCTGCAAGTTAGACAAGTCCAAGATCGTTGCCTCTGTCTCCAACTTCAGTGTTATCTCCATTGATGAAGAACAGATTGCTGCCAACCTTGTCAAGAACGGGCCTCTTGCTGTAGCCATCAACGCTGCCTATATGCAGACTTACATTGGAGGAGTCTCTTGCCCTTACATATGCGCTAGGAGGCTCAACCACGGTGTCTTGTTGGTGGGTTATGGCTCGGCTGGTTACGCTCCAGCTAGGTTCAAGGAGAAGCCTTACTGGATTATCAAGAACTCGTGGGGAGAGACCTGGGGTGAGAATGGTTTCTACAAAATCTGCAAAGGCCGTAACATTTGTGGCGTTGACAGTCTTGTCTCCACTGTTTCAGCCACAGTCTCAACTACGGCCCATTGAAAGCATCGGCGATAATGTTAATTACTTTGGTGATTTGTGTGAGCGAGCTCTCTGTTGCGCTGACTCTCTTATTTATCTCTGCTTTTTGCTTGTAAATAAAATGCATTCTGTTGAGCAATGCCGTACAATGCTCATTAGTAATGGAGTTGAATCGAAGAAAATGGGCCGTTAATATTTGCCTAAACTTTTAACAAACTCTGTTTACAATGGGCCTAATATAAGTTTTAATCTAATGGGCCGTCTATAGCCCACAGCTTGATATTGATATGCCTAGTGATAATAAAAACGGCGTGCATGTGCTGCTTAAAAAACGTAAACGGACAGCAACAAATGCATGCATGTATAGCGGTTAGGAGCTAGGCAGTTCCCACATTTAGCATTTTTAATGGAAAGGGAAGTGGTTTTACAACAATTGAAACTCACATCACGCACTACTTTGTCGCGTAGTTAGACACGCGCCTGTTTTTCTATGCTATATAGTCCAGGGATATCATTCAGTTTCCAACAATTTAGGATTTCCTTATTTCACTGCGCGTGGGGAAGTTTTAATCAACTTTTTTTTTTCTCTTTTAATCCGTCGCTATTATTATTATTATTATTTTATTTTTTTTAATATGTATAATTTTGGTTTTGTGCAGCATTTTTTTATGTTAATCTTTTAACCAGAAATGTAATGTTATATATTTGGTATTTGCCACGTCTCACAAGATAACGCTCGAACAAAATATCAAATAAGCGAAAACAATCGAAGTAAGTCGGAAGATGTGTTCAAATTAATCGCACGCGGCACATTTCGTAAATCTGTATTCTTTTTTGAAACAAACAGCATTTTAATGGGCTCATAAATTTTGTTAACAAACAACACTTTAATGGGATTATAAAAATTTCACTAGTGGGCCATTAAGTAAGTCCCATGGGATTGGAAAACAACATAGATAGACATGTATGAGGAGCCTCAATTCCTCACTCTTATTCAACATTATCCACAGAGCTTATTATTTAAATCCAAACAAACAAACAACAACAAATGGGTTTTTTTCCTCATACAGATCCCATCATCCCCTCTCTTTCTTTTTTTGGTAAAAAATTATCTCCGCAGGCAAATAAATAAATTTAACTGACCCTTATACGGAGCGAAGGGGAAAGAAAAAAATGTTGGATTTTAATAGAAAGAAATAAAACTTGTTTGTACCTTATATATATATGCAAAATGCAGAGGATGAGAGGAATGAATCACATCACTCGTCTTCGTTTGCAGTGAAAATGAAAGTGAAAGGAGCGAACTTGTAACCATCTCCTTCGTAGAATTTGTTCTGAAACTCAACCCAGTGGAGACGCAGCGCATGCAGGAACGCGCTTAGTGTCTCCATCACCAGCAGCACTCCCACAGTCGCGAATATGAAGACGATGATCCCAACGATCAGGATCAACACATTGTTGTACCTGTTTTGTTGTTAGTACCAACGAGACACAAAAGTATTAGCCATGTTATAGAACAAAAGGGGGGGGGAGAGAGAGAGAGAGAGAGAGAATGCATACCCCCAAGCGAGAAGGAGGACCTTCTCATAGAAGACTGATGATAGCTCTGAGTGGGCAAGACTGAAACAAAATAATGGATATTAAGCCATGAGTATAGGTTATGTAATTCATGTATAGCTTCTACTACTCATACCTTAGAGCCCAAAGACGCAGGTAAGAAGCGGTGTTGGAAACAGCTCCAAGCACAAACTCTATGGTGTGAATCAGCTGATGCACAAATATCTCGCTGAATTCAAACTCCTCGTGCCCATGGGATCCTCCGTTTGTCTCCACATGAAGACTCTCATCTGTCTCGTCTAGAGGTGCGTATGACTGACCTTGATGCCTCTGAAGAAGGAAACCGCGTTTAGGACGATCAGCAAAGTATAAGAAAACAAGACCTTATAAAAAAACTTGTAAGGGAAAAGGAAAGAATCTCACAGCTTCATGTTGTTTCTTCAAGATGAACGGCTTTGGAAGCAACATACACGGAACAGAAACAAGAGCCAGAAAGAGAAGCACAAGCTGAAAAATGAGGAAAGGGATGAGTGAAGCTAAACATATGACAAGCTTTTCTAGATCTCGTTACAGCAACTGCTACTGGGAGATACTAACTTGCACTATTTTCTGGTGAGGGAAAAGTTGATTCTCTCCTAACTCGTCGGTTGGGCTCAGGAACATATATATCATTACATGATACAAATCTGCTTGAGAACCAGTGCACCACTTTATGATGATGAGGACCGAGAGATAGCCAAACAAGCTGTTCAAGAATATCATTTGGGGAATGAACTGGAACCTGCAAGCCGCAAAATTAGACGCTATGAGAATGACTGAATTTAATTGTTTCAGGAACTGGAGAGAGAGCACACTGTGGTCAGGAAACATCAACTTAACCCACCATATATTTACACTCGATTTGAAGAATCTAGCATTGAAGTAGCTCATTATTATTCCGAGGTTCATTTGAGAAACTCCAAGAAGGATTGACATTTTCATCTTCAGCGAGTTCAGGAATGGCAGCTCGCTGCGGGTTCCATGCCACACAGGATCTAGACCAAATGGATATGTGTCTCTGACCTTTATCAAACCAATTGTTGTAGCCTCGCTGAAGATAGAAATAAGAAAAGAATGAGATTCAGAACCGTAAAAATATTCCCTGTTTCCTGCTACTAATATGCTTTTTCGTTTATAAACCTAACTATTAGAACTAGCCTGCATACCTGCAAGAGGCATCACGGCAATCATAGGCTGAAGGAGCAAACAAAGGGTATGGTATAGAGAAGAACTCGTTGTAGATTAAACCAGTGTATATTGAGAAGATTGACATCATCAAAATGACATAACGCCCACCAAAAGCCATTTCCATAATATCCCCAAGTTTCTGTTGTCAGGCAGAAACGATTGAAGAGTAAGCATCTAGAACTTGCAAGCACAAAACATCAAAATGCAATAGACTAATCTGAACTTTAGAAATGTCAAGAGACTTTTAATTGCTTTCATATTTGCATGCAACTCTTTAAGAAAACAGACAGCTAAACTATAAGCAAGTTCTGCTGATGAGACAAATTCAATCTTGTGTTCACAGTCAGAACGTAAGTAACATCAGTTGGGGTATTACCTGGCTGGAAAGTTTCTTTTCTCTCAATATCAAGTACATCGTTGCAAGCAGAATACATATTCCATGCCCCCAATCACCAAACATAACAGCGAAAAGGAAGGGGAAGGTAACAATTGTGAATACACCTGGATTGGCTTCCTGATACTTCGCCACACTGCAGAGTAGTGATCATAGAATATTGAAGAAACTATGAGTAAAACGCAGTCTACAACACATTTTCTTATAATACAAAGGCTATCTCCAATTTCCTGTTTCCTAAACCGAGTCAAAAGCTCCAGAAAGACACTTACCCATACGCATCAACAATTTCCTGGATTGCAGAAGTAAATTTGTTTGTGCGAAAATAAGTTGGTGGCGACTCTTTGGTCCTTAGGACCTGGAAAATTGATCCAACCTGAGAATTGGAGTCAACGGCAGCTCGCTGTAATGCATCTTGAATCTGCACAACCAATACCAATTATAATTAAGTGCTACAAAACCAGTAACTCACAGTCACGGATTATGTTATTCAATTTTGCAATTGACAATGCAACAAAAATGACAACTCACTTCTTTTGATGCAAAGACAGGACTCCAGCCCTCGGCCACGAGACACTTCTTTGTCACATCAAGACTAAGCATGTTCAATGTATGATAGATAGCTTTCTCTTTGCGTACCTACAATCAGTAAATAAAAAGTTGACGTCATCTTGTATGAAGTATATAACAAATGGGTCAACACCCCCCAACATAGATCCACAAAGGATAATACCTTGAGGTTCCATAGCTCAAACTTATCTCCAATGCTCTGCAACAGAATGTTGCGGTGACCTAACCCAGCATCTATGGTGGTTTTAAGTTCTGATAATCGACCTGAAACCTGAAACATTGTAAAAAGGTTAATAATGGTAGACAGTAACGGTATCATCATTATGCAGTCTCATCATGACATTGCTAGCCTAAGATGCATCCTGACATGGATGCTATTCGACTTCTAACTAACAGGCACACAATTTCAGTACATCAATGATCAAAACATTATATTCTCATCCATTAGCTTTTATTAAACATCTGAGTGCCAACGAAAACCCAAAATTTTATTAATAACCATGACTCATGCCAAAAGAAAGTCATGTACAAAGAAAGAATACCAAGAAAAGTAAATTGGTCTACGACAACAACAACAAAAAAAAAAAGAATATTTACATTATATGTCAATAAGAACATTCATAAAAATGATAAAACATACCTCGGTTATCATTTGAGCTTGTCTTCCAAGGTCCTCACTGAAAGGATAACGATTGGCCCCAAAAGCTTCACATATTTTAAGAATTTTGCTTTTTGCTCTTTCCCCGGAATAGAAGACAACAAAAACATTTTTCTCAGCCTACAATATTGATTAAGTTAAAAGTTAATTCCAACTGATACACAGAAAAGTAAATCTCTGTTCTAAAGAGATCAGCTTTCCATGTTGAACAAACTCCTGGCTCTGTACATCGACAAAATATAGATAGATGCAACACTAACAAGTAGAAAATATTAAAGCCACGTATGCATTTTTATATTTCAAATATCTAGCATTTGAATGACCTTGCTTCCTATGTCTAAGAGAATTCAAGAGGAAAGCAGAAGCATCTAACCTTCTCCCCAGAGTTGGGATCAATGACCGGCTCCTCAATGACAGTCTGTCGAATAAAGATGTTTCCCCTAGTAGCACGGAATAGAATCCTCTCAAACACCATAGACTTTTCACGAGGCACTAATCCGGTAAGAAATCCAAGCTTTACTTGCTTTGTCGAATCAATGGCCTTCTCCTGGTTAAAAGAAACTATTGTGACTGTTGGTAACTAAACAAGAAATTACGAAAACTTTAAGCACGAGAACAGCTGCATTTTTCATACTTCCTGCAACAAAGGAGACTCCAGCAGATCTTCACCCGTTTGTTGTGATTCTATCTCTCTCTGTTGAGCCGTGGCACTTCTATGAGCAGAAGAAAAGAACTCACCAGCCTGAAAAGATAACATTCAGATAAATATAGTGTGAGATGACGTTCCTATTTAAGCATAACATCAGCCTATTTACCACCACAAAAAACTTACATACCAATAATTTATAACCTAACTATAAATTGAAATATGAAAAGATACTACTCCTTTCGTAATCCAAAATAACATATTCAAAGCCGTGAACTATAGAAATATACCTTTTGAAGAACCAACTTGTACTCCATAAGTTCATTATAGGATCGCTGCAACTTGTCATTATTAGCGTTGATTTCAACAAGTTCAGCTTCTAGCTCTCCAAGCTTTACCTAACAAGCCAGAAAGAAGGAAAAAAAAAAAAGTATATCCGTGAGAAAACGAGAAGCATGACATGGAAAATGAAAAGCATGTATACCCATTTTACCTCAACATCATCCAAATCGATGTCAATTTCTTTCTCAAGCATTTCCTTGGGTAAAACTCCTGCTTTTGACATTTGATCCTTGAAGAACCGTATTTTCCGTGCCATCTCTCCACATCTTTTTATCTTAATATATGAAACAAAAGAGGCAAATTATCACAATTGTAAGGTCAACTTATAGTGTAATTATAAGAAAAAGACTGTACTACATTCCTAAACAGTGACTTAAGCGTGAACTTACCTGAGCTGCATAAGTACGTTGGAAAGGGCTCTTCTCTGAATTTAGCTGAAATCAACATTAAAAAAAGAAAGGTTTATAAGAAGAGAATAGTGTACAACGAACACCAAAACCAATTGACCAAAGATCTGTGGTAATGAAAATCTATATTTCATCCTCTCTTACGAAAACAAGTAAAAAATCTCAAAACCAAATGCCAAAGTTGAACATTCAGGCGCGTATATTTATATCCAAGAATAGCACACAAAACGATCGCGATATTCAAATAACAGCTAGACAAAGAGGCTTCGAGTCCTATAAATCCTGAATGAAACCTTAGGGTTCCGATATCGAGATCAGAAAACCCCGTCAAAATCCCCATCGAAGGTCCAATTTCAGAGATCAAAACACGGATTGCAATGTAGATAAGAAAATGCACAAACGAATTAGATAAGTCGTCAACGAAGCATTGGAAAAAAGAGAAAGAGAAGGAGGAGTACGGACGTCTTTGAATTGGACGAGGCCGAGATCCCCAAGGTAAGAGACGGTGAGATGAGCAGATTCCATGGGAACAATGAGTTGAACAAGTTGCATCGTCTCTGAACGCATCAGATCCATCGACGGACAACAGCCACCACCGCGGCTTTCCCCCATCGTTCGTCGATTGAGGAGCTTTGAAAACCAAATGAGAGGAGATAAATTATGTGATTGACGATAATGTTTTGACAGAGACCACGGACGAGGCAAAGACGGAGGAGATGAGAGAGCTGTACATTTTATTTATTTATTGTTATTATTTGTTTTGTCTGCGTAGTCCCCATCGCGTATTTTTTTTTTCGTTTATCCCATAATTGCCCCCTCATGTTATCCCAATATTATTATTTTGCCCTTGCTTTTAGATATCTTCGTTACTGGGCTTTTAGTGGGCTTTCTTAAACCTGTTTCTTATTATTATAGGTTTGGAATTGCATGCATCAGAGAGTATCAATCTCCATGGTATGGGCTCCCATTGGCTAGGCTAAATCAATCACTATCGTGATATGCTTTTTTTGAAGTCACCCAAATATTGGCCCATGAGTAAGTTCCAACTAACAATCGCCATTTTGTTCCAAGATTCTTTTTTTTTTTTTGGTAACTCGGTTCCAAAGATTCTAAGTCTAAGGTCAATATTTCTTCTTCTTCCTTGTTCCTTTTTGGGCAAGTCATAAAATCTCAGTAGAATTCTCCAGGAAAACATAAAATTGGAAAAGTAGGGGGGTGTATTCAAATCATGATTTGGAAGGATTTTGTGGAATTTATAATATTTGAGATTCTAGGAGATTTAAGTGAGTTTTTAAGGTATTATGGTGGATTTGTTATTGTTTCCTATTTTAAAAAAATGAAATTAGCTTGAGATTTGATGACATTTGGTGAGATTTTAAAAAGAATTTTGGGTGATTTTAAAAGATTATCACATGTTAAAAAAACAAAAGAAGGATATATGATGAACATGTTTAACGTCAAGAACAGATTCAAAACTAGTGATGATTGGGCTTTTGACATATTCTCAGGAGAAACAGATCAGAGAGACAATTAAAAAACCAACAAACTCAAATGATACATGTGTGCTATAGAGAGTTGAAACAGACCCTCCATTGTCGCTTGTGACCAATGTGGTGAAGAATGGACTGAAGCAGATTATGCATATATTTGTGTGAGAGGAGATAAAATAAGCAGATTATGACTAGCCTCCCGTTTATTACAGATAGTGAAACACAATCACAACAACATGAGAGACCATGAAAATTTTACCAAAACAAAAACGTTGTGCAATCACGAAACCTTCCACACATCATTATTCATATCAAATCCAGAAAAAGCTTTATTTCACCAAGTTAAAATAATTCAAATCGATCCAAACCGTCTAACACAAAAGATTCAATTGAAAAATCCAAAAATAATATAAAGATAAGTACTCATATTGCATCATGATTCCATATTCATAGCATCTGTCCACATATGTGTAGCTATTGATGCTCTCCAATTATTAGCAAGAACTCTTTGTTGATCTTGAGTACCTTGAAGCTCTTCATTTGCATTATTTTCAGCATCATCTCTTTCGTCAACACCGCTTTCTTCAACATCGTTTTCTTCTGGAAGAAACACATCCGAACGACATTCTTTACGAAGATAGTTATGTAAAACAACGCATGCAAGTACTAACTCCGCTTGCGTTTTATACGGAAAGGGTGGTGCATATTTGAAGATGAGAAATCTTGACTTGAAGATGCCGAAAATCCTCTCTATCACATTTCGTAAACTAGAATGACGATGATTGAATAACTCATTTTGATTTACGGGATCTTTTCCTTGTCCCCTAAAGTCTTGGAGATGATAGCGAGTACTTCGAAATGGGGGCTAAAAAACTGCGACGATTGGCGAATCCACAATCAACTAAATAAAATTTTCCTGAAATTTCATAAAGCACACAAGTGATTAGATGAAATTGAATAACAAATTTTTTTTAATCATAATATAAATGACATACCTTCAGGAACTTTTAATTGGTTAGTGTTTCGTGTTAAAGCATCATGTAATACTTTTGAGTCATGAGCTGAACCTTCCCATCCACTAAGAACATATATAAATTCTAAATCAAAATTA